TAATTATGTATAATTATGTAGTCTTTCGAGCAACATCAGGAATTTTGAGGTAGCATATTTGGTACAATTTTTGAAAGAATTATAATTTCTGTGTGGTACGATTTTCAACATTCAACAAGCTTAAATTTGTCAGATTTGCAAGCCATTAAATAATTTTTCAATTTTTTTGTCCCCATAAATAGTTAGATTAATGATATCTATCTTACGTGCAGGTTAACGTGTTCGAATCTTTTTGCAAACTTTACAAAACTGCTCAAATTACTCTTAAAGTTTTACTTAATGCACCACTCTTAGCTCAATGGTGAATCTGTTATTTCTAAATTCCTCGACTTAAATTGACAGATATTTAATTATTTTATTGTTTTTGAGTGATATTTATAAAAAAATTCCAAAACGACAATTCTGTCAGATTTGCAAGCCATTAAGTAAATAATTTTCCAAATATTTGTGTTATCATAAAGACTCAGATTTGTTTTGTGTATCACCAAGATGTGATTAAAATTAACTAGCGCACTTCAGCTGAATGTTGGTGAACTTTATGAAAAAACTGCACAAATTATTCTATAAATTTACACTTATTTTATAAATTATTCTATAAATTTATCCAACTCTTAGTACAATGGCGAATCGGTTATCTCAAAATTTCTCGACCTGATTACGTCTTTCTTACCCACAGGGAACGTTTGTTGGGGAACTATTTACGTTATGCACGTAATAAAACGCTTCACACGAGGCAATTATTTGCGCAATTCACGCAGTGCTTGGTAACTTTCCGAAAATCCGTACGTTTTGTAAAATAATTTTACAAAACAAAGATACTCTCTTGCTCCAAGGTTGCAAAAAGTCTGCAGGCTAATTCTCTTTAATTATTTGTAAAATTTTTGTTAATGTTTACATGAAAATTCACGGGTTTTACGATGCTAAAAAGTCCTTCGAGAATTATCACATTTCAAGATTTAAAGGAATTTACAATGTAATTAAAGGTATCAAAATTCTCACAGATATTTTATACGACGTACCACTCTTATCTTTTAAATAATAAAAAGACCAAAGTTTATTACGTCCGAGAAATAGTCTATCAATATCTGTCATAATCACTCCTATCTTTGCAACCTAAAGTTGCAAAATTTACAAAGATTACGAAGGAAAATTAGGTTACAAAAGTACACAGTACTCTTTCACAAAACTTGCAGTTTTCTGATTTTATAAAGTTTTTAATTTTATAAAGTTTCTAATTTTTGGAAAATTTATATTTAAAATCGGCATAAAAATTATAACAGATTGAATGAAGTTTACATTTCGAGCAAATTTAGATTTTGAACCTATTTCTTTGATATTCGACCAAAAAATTTCTGCAGCGACTGAGTAGTTAAGAAAGTTGAAAATAAGCAATAGTGATTTTATCGGGTTCATACGCCATTTACAGAATTCGAAAATACATTTTGATTTACATTTATTATGATTTGCACAAAAAAAAGATAGCATCTTTCTTAGCGAAGTTTACATATTTATTTAGATATTTCGCATCACAATTCCTTTATCTAGTAGTTCTTTTTCGGAATAATTTTACAAAATTGAAAACATGCCGTTTTTCTGGGTAAGTTTGCAACAAAAAATTTTGCTTTTCGTGCCATTTTTGTGTGTGTTAATCTAGCAAATTGTGCATGTCAACTTTGAGATTAAATAAATAAAGGTGTCGCATAAAATAAATCAAATTATTAAAGTTATAAGTTATAAGCAAGGTAAAAAATGTGAACTTTTATACTAAAAGGTGCAAAAAAAACGTACCAAAATCTGACATTTAAACCTCCGTCTATGCATATACCTATATCCAAATTATTTTTATTTTTATTATCGGCATGATGCATACTCAAAATCTTGTTAATTACAATTATTTTTTGCAATATTTACTTTCTTTTATGCCGACCTACTTCGCGTCTGTTGCTTAGTTTATTATTTTATTGTGATTCGAAAAAAATAAAAGAAAAATAAATGCTAAAATTTTAAAATTTCATAAAATTTAGAAATCGAAATTTCGAAAAACCTACTAAGCACCTACATATCAGTATGTTCATTCATATCTCCTTGAAACTACTTATTAATATTTAGTAATACCGGAGTTTAATATTCCATAATTTTGTTTACACATTTCAAAAATTTCAACAATGGTTGGTACAAAATGTTAAGTTTCGAAGTTTTTTTTATTATTTTCCGATAAGTAAAATAAAATATTTACGAAATAAAAAGATGCCGATTTTTTTAGGTAAATTTACGACATTTTCGTACAAAAAGGTTTGTCCTAATCGTTTAGTATGTATGCATGACTTATGAAATTTTAAGATTAGTCATTTGATAAATAAAAGTATCGCGTAAAATGGTCAAAAAAAGTTGTGGTAAAAAAAATTAATGTAAATTTTGAAATTATGAAAATTATGAAATTATGAAATTATGAAAAATGCAAAAACAAAATGTAATAAAAATACGATACGAAAAATTTTGTAAAGGTCTCCCAATAATCTCTCTTATTTCCCAATAAATACGAAGTTATTTATTGTTTTATTTTCGGCACGATCCATACGCAAAAAATTTGTAATTAAAATTATTTTTTGATATCTTTCTGCTAATTTTTTACTTTCTTTTATGCAGACCAACTTGCGGGATCTCGCCTCCACATCGTGTCCCACTCTTGGCGACTCTGTTTCCTCCCAAGATGAAGAATTTCTCGTATTAATTCCGTCTTTTACACGACGCCGAAAGCAACCGATTTCTTTGTGAAATCGAAGTTAGGTTGGATTCCGGTTAAACGTGACATATTTAATTCGGATTTGATTCAGCAAGATGTTTGTATGTAAGAACTTGGGAATTAATGTAACTGACATCTTCTATAGCTTATCAGATTTTTAAATATGCATATATATGCGTTTGTGTAGTTTTCAAAATTTCGCAAATTTACCCCAAATTGAATGGAACTATTGATCTAACCAAGATATTTTCTAAATGAGCAATTATTTAATGAACATAGGTAAATATATTGTAAATACTTTTCTAAATTTTAGCATAATTTCAGAGTTCCATGCAAAATGAAAACTTTAAAATTAGAACGTTACAGCACTTTATGACCCAATTACAAAAATTCAATTATCTTGTAAACCCTTGTAAACCATTTGTGCTTTATGATTTTTACATAAATAAATTAAATGGATGCAAACCTACGCAATTTCCAGTCTCAATTTGATATAACAAATTTTAGCAATATCAAATTTTCCAGATAAATGGACATTTTGTTAATAATTATTTTAAAAAGTGGTCATTTATCAGGAAAATCTTGGTTTACAAATCTTACAAAATATTTAATAAATGATTACGACATAATTTTTTACAAAGTTTGCAAACATGTAGATATGTACATACATACTTCCATTTACAAAATTAGCAAACATTTGCAAATTCGTTATTATTATTAATTTTTTGCGCATTTTACTCCATCTTTTCAATGAGACGGAGGGTTTAATCAGTTCGGGTGCGTGTCGGCATCGTGGGCAGTGATCAATTCTGGTAAACTTAACAACATTTCGAGGTAAATTGAGACTCAAGGTATTTAATTTGACAATTTCTAATCTTGCATGCAGTGCTACTTGTGGTTATCATGGTGTTGATAAGCCTCCTACTTTATGGAAGAATGATAAAGGTGCTAAGAGAGGGAGGAGTGATACCACGTGTTCATGGGGTAGCTTAACGAGGAGTAAAGTTATTCAAGTTGTCAATGGGGAAAGTTGAGACATATTTGATCCACTTTAAAGTTGATTAATATTTTAGTAAAGTTCGAAAATATCTTAAGTTCAAAAAGTCTAAAAAAAATCTAACAAAATTTGCAAATTTCAGGAAAGTTAGAAATCGAAAGTTCGGAAAATAAATTTCTTAAAATCGGAAATTTCAAATCTATGCCCGTTGACACGTACTAAATTTTTAGTCCTGCCGGCGTTTAATAATTGCATATTTTAAGTTTCATGTATCATATTTGAACAAAATGATAAGTTTGGAAACTTTTACGTTTAAATTTTATTTTTTGAAGTAAAATAAAAATATCTATTAATCATTCGTTTAAATAAATTAACAATATTATTAAACGTATTCAAATTTACAGAAATATTTTATACGGCGTACTGCCCTTACGTTTTAGTTTCAATGACCACAATTGGTTATGCGCTTGTGCTGAGGGAAGTTGTAAATTCGCAAAATTTGAATTTTTCATAAAATTTCAAACTTAACGTTCCTTCGCAATTTTTGATACAACACTTTTTCAAAATACATGCTCGCAAATTTAATGTGTTACAAAAATCCGAATTAATTCAATCCCTAATTAGTTTATGGGAAAGAAGATTATCTTTTTCTCACCAGTGGTAATACGTATGTAGTCAAATTTAGATGCAAATTGACTCATATGTTTGAAACCGTGTGTAAAAAATTGTGGAAATTTTGCAAAAATATTTTGCAAAAAAAACGAGATTTCGGATAGATTTATGCCTTGATTTTTCTCTCTTTCGAACTTACAAATTTTACTGGGGTACACAAATCTGAGTGTCTTAGTCAGAAATGCGTGTTTGTACATCTTAATAAATTTGATGATTTGTGTAGATTTCCGGAAATAAGAAAAATGCCAAACTTCCCGTCGTGGTTTTGAGGGAAGCTTCCTATTTGTAAGTTGGAGTGCGGGGGCACATTTGAGACAGATATATTTAGCATATTATACCAAAATTTGAGATTTCTAGAATTATTTTTTGACCATTTTTAGGTCAAAGTTCTCCACTATATAGTACGGGATCTCTAATTTACACAAATATTGCTCTAGAATTTACTTTCAAAATTAACAGAGGCAAAAGAAACGTGATATTTTGACGAAGCAAAATTGCAATTTTAACTAAATTGGATGATTTTACGGTCGAATTTACTATTTTGTAATAATCAATATGGCCCAAAATAAATAAATTGTAGGTAAACCGTTTACCGTAAACGTATGTATTTATTATAAATTACGAGATTTTATTTCGAATAGAAATATCTGTATAATCTATAAAAATTACGTAATGATTATCCCAATTTTAGTCATACTAAACAAGTACATAATTATTAAGTAAACTGTAGGCAAACTGTAAACTCTGCAAAATTAGTAAACTTGCAAACCTTCAAACTTTCAAATTTGCAAAGATTACGAAGGAAAACGGAATTCACTACAAACTTATTAGTAGTCTCATTCTATGAAAAAACAATTTCACAAATTTTAACATGATTTTAGCAACTTGCGCCAATGCTATAGTTTAACTATGGCGTAGGTTAGCAAGAAAGAGTGAACACATCTTTACACAGTTTACGGTGTGAATTATTTTAAATGACAAGATAACATTATTTAGATCACGTGTGTTATATAAACTAATTATTATAAACTTAATTATTACTATTAAAACTACACAATTAACATCGTTGTTTTTAATCCCATCGATAATGTGCGTAGGCTCGGTTAGCTTCACAAACTCGGTGGAGATCCTGCTTTCGCTTGATTACTTTGCCCTGCAGAATAGAAAAAAAGGAGAATGATTAATTATTATTAGTTTTAGCTTTGTCATTGTCCAGAAGTTAGTTGCAAAATAATTTTCAAAATTACAACAAATATGTCAAAAATGCGTGGAAAATTGGAAATAAATAGTTATATCTCTTACTACTTGTTTGAAAAGTGTGGTCCGAATGCAAGTTTATGATTGTGCAAAACGTCTTATTCGAAAAAATTAAATTTTAAGCGAGCAATTATTTTCAAATTAACGGATTTCTTCACACTTTCAACTTGCTAAAAATTTGTAAAACCCAAAAATGAGAAATGATTTGACATCGCAAACTTTGCAGCCTTACATTTTCGAGCAGTCCCCTGGCCAAGATTTTGTTCCCTTTTCACATAATGTGGTTAGTAAATTTGGCGACGAATACTTTGGTCGTAAAAAGTGGACGAGGTTTGACTACTATTCGCCGGGCGGACTGGGAGGAAAATGTGGCGCTCGAAGTCATTCGCCTCCTGAAGAGCGACTTGGTCCGCATGGCGAAAAATGGGGTGGATATAGCGCGGAGGAAAAGTGGCGAAGAGACTGAAATAAGAATCAAACCGTTATTTAGATTAGTTAATTAATTAACTTGCATTTAATTTTAAGTAAGATGTGCAAATGTTGGCGAATTGTGATTTTTATCCAAGTGGGTGTGTCGATGAGGGAGGAGAGTCGTAATTTATGGACTACTTACAAGTGGGTGGGACGATATCCAACCTGGTATATTTTTCTGAGCAACATTTTCGAAATTTTTCAAGAAAAACCATATTTAAAATTTATGGTCCTCTTGTATCTTGGGCCAGCTGAACTGCTGCTGGTTATATTAATATATATATACATATAAGAGTTTTAGTTGAGATGAGACGATTATAAATTGTTATGTCGTGAAACATGATGTGCATGACCCGAATGAGCCGAATTCTCTGACACCAGTTATTTTTATTTTGGCGTTTAAATGGCTTTTAAATTTCGTATGATTTCTAAATAAAAATTGAATAATTTAAACGCCAAAATAAAAATAACTGGTGTAAAAATAACTCAATGTGATGAACTCACGATATGTGTTTACACCGAGTTTAGTAAAGTCCTTGACTTTGGATTAGTGCCGGGAGAACATGCATAAATGCACATGCACATCCAGGGTGCGCCACCCCGGGTTTTTGTGATATCAAATCCCCGAAAAAAACCCTAATGCTTAACGGGTTTTTTGCGGGTTTTTTGTGGGTTTTTCCAGGGTTTTTGCAAAATTTTGGGGCAAATTAAAACAAAATTCGTCTAATTACAACTTACAGCAATATTAACTCAATTTCCAGATACGGTATGAAATTTTGAGCAATTTTATGTACGACTTAAATTTCCAGTAAGCCTGGGTTCCTGTTCGGTTTACATTTTAACATGAACTTTTGACTTAATAATGGACGTCAATAAAAATATTTAAAATTTCATGTTGAATTCGAATATCAAACTTGCTTTACTCTAGTATAAAATGTAAGGAATTTTGCTTAACCCCCTAAAATCTACAAAAAACCACAAAAACTCCGGAAAAACCCCCTGGGTTGGATATTTCCGAACCCTGCAAACATCACCACCACCAAAAAAATCGCCCAGCCAGCCAGCGTTGCATTGTTCTCCAGTCAGGCAAATAAAACGCGTTAGTGAATTGCGGCTAATTTGCCCTCCAATTTTTGTGCATTTTTCATTATAGTGCAAACAATGTTACACAGCAGAGGAAACAAAACGATAATAATTGTTTGCCTTCATTAAACTTGTGAACATAACGCAATCTCTTAGTGAAAAAAATACGATATAAAACTTGCATCAGTGGAATAGGAGAGCTTTTTGCTAGAAAATTTTGTGATTTCCAAGTTAAAAAAGAAAAGTTAGAGTCTTACATTTGTAAAGAATTTGAGAATTAAGAGTGTTATTTCTTAAGAAAAACATTCCTACTTGTGCTTTCTCCCTACAGATTTTGATCTGTCGTGCTTGGAGGTCTCTCAACTTTCTTTTCGAGTCATGACATTAATTAAGTGATCCATTTGGTTCCTTTCTCGCGTCCCTTCCTCCAAACGACCCCGATCAAGCGGCGTGGTCACCTTATCAGGTTCCCATTCCCATCAGACCAAGTGCCAGTTTAACAATTACGTTCCAATCAATACGGGCAGCCCCTCGGATAATCTCCTTAGATTATCGACGCGGCGGAAGGTGTGGTGCGTGTGATGCAAATTGTATACAAATATTTGCAAAAATTTGGCAAGTTTTCCGCAATGTTTTCCACTTTTTTGCATATAATAATTAATTCATTCTCCGTTTTATATTTTGCAGGGCAAAATAATCAAGCGAAAGTAGGATCTCCACCGAGTTTGTGAAGCTAACCGAGCCTACGCACATTATCGATGGGATTAAAAACAACGATGTTAATTGTGTAGTTTTAATAGTAATAATTAAGTTTATAATAATTAGTTTATATAACACACGTGATCTAAATAATGTTATCTTGTCATTTAAAATAATTCACACCGTAAACTGTGTAAAGATGTGTTCACTCTTTCTTGCTAACCTACGCCATAGTTAAACTATAGCATTGGCGCAAGTTGCTAAAACCCCTTTAAGATTTGAGAAATTGTTTTTCATATATAGAATAATAGAATGATTAATTTATCTGGGAATTTGTTACAATTTAATCTGAGGAATTAAACAATTGAAATCAGATTGATATTAACGCCATTAATATAAATTTCGAGTTTGACTTTCAATTTACATTCGGGGTATACTTATATGATGTGTGAAAGTTTGTAGTGGATTTAATTTCCCATCTGAATATGTGTGAATCTAATGGTTTGCAAGTCTCGTAAACTGTAAAAATTTGTGTATGCACGTGACTCCTCATTATTTAACGCAACTCTTGTAATTAAATACTTAAATTAGCCCAATTAGCTCACGGGAAGTTTGTAAAATTGAATTTGGCAAAAGAGAGATTTTTACAACAGGAAGTGGAGGGTACTATTTGAGGACATTTTGACTTGATTTGATTGGTTATTGCTTATTTATTAGGATTTTTTATATAATTGATTCAGTTTAATCCGTGTTAATTTGCAATAACTTACTTTACTACTTAGTTTGCGAGTTTATAAAATGGGGAGCTTAGATTATTTAAATAATTTATCTTGGGCGACAACACCTTCGTCAGGCACGCCTGCAAAAATTGACGCAGTTGTAGGCAAAAGGTACAACTTGCGAAGTTACGTGCAGTCGTCCCAGTCAACCGTAAATGCAGGTGAGGCGATGATTTCAATAAATATTTAATATCTTAAATTTTATTGAATATTTTGCTATAATGTGCAAATTATTATAGATTTAGTTAATTTTGACGTTCCCCCAATTTCAAATGGAAGACCCTCCCTTTTAACGAAATTTGATCCTCTTTTGGCCCACGCTGGAAAATCCCCCGACGAATCCATACCACTCGAAGAGATAGAAGCAGGAGAAAGTGATGAGGCTTCCCCATTAGCAGAGTTAGTGACAAATTCATCACATTTTTTTATCATTTCTCGGCTCTGGGAATTTATCTTAAAATTCTGAACCTCAAATTTGTAGAGCAGGTCGTTCCTAACTTAAAAAAAATATGCACTCCAGATTTTGCCACTTTTTGAAGGAGGAGAGTTCAAGTTTATGAATCCTTTAAAAAAATGGGAACTCGTAGAAACTGGTTTAAAATTTGAACATAAATTCCCAAAGCAGAGAAATGATTACAAATGTGAGTTCTGAACCGTAAAAAAGCCTCGCATACGCAAAATCGTACGCTAAAAATTATTTGGTAACAAAATAGTTACCGCGTTTATGTATGTATTTCTTTTCCGCTTATTTTATTCCGGTAGGAAATTTATAGTTGATTTTTTAAATTTACATTTCAAATTTTGAATTCACTATTTTTCTCCCTTGGTGTGAATTAAGAACAAAAAATTACTTTTCTGTAGATTTTATTCCACTTACACAATTCGTTAAATAAAGAAATTGCCAACTTTTTTGACTGGAAGTCATTAACGCCATGAAATTAATTTACAAAATTCAGATTAATTAACAGTAATTAGTTTAAATAGCCAGCACGAAAATGCAATAAGTGAAGGAAGCTTTATGTGTAGTAAAATTTTTGGTAAATTCAAATCACTTAGTATTTTGTTTCAATTAAAATCCATCATTATTAAGATTTCATACTTAAACTGTGAAAGTAATCGTTTATGTCAATGAGGCTATTTTGTGTGGCAATTTTTTACAAAATTGTTACCCGTCAAAGCCGATAATTTAATTTGAGGAATTAGATAACTGTAATCGCATTGTTAGTAGCGCTATTGATGCAAATTTTGAGTTTGACATTGATTAAATTTACATTCGGGGTCAATTTTTTTTAGTATAAGTGACTTGCATACATGTTCACATTCATTCATTTAATGATGAATGAAAAAATTATTCATTTAATGATGAACGAATAAATTATTCATTCAATATTCAAAATTTGAATGAATATTGAATGAATATTTTATTCTGATTTTTGTATAAATGAATATTCAGTGAATATCTATTCAATTCGTGTGAATGAATAATGAATGAATATTTGTTTCAAGGCTTTGAATGAATGTAAATATTTTTTGAACATGTATGAGTCGCACCCCGAAATGAAAATTGAGTGATATGAAATAATTTTCTGAAATTTTGGCTACCGATGCGAGGCTTTTGACCGGTTCAAAATTTTTCGCATTTCATAATAAATAATAATTATCATGATTTTATAGAAGCGGAACAAATACAAAGTCTACCGCGTATGAGAAAATCCGATATTTTCTGACCCAGAACTCTCCCGCAAGTCGAGACCTCATCCTCGAAGTAGTCTCCCAGCGAGGATGCAAAAAACCGGCCATTTATACGGCGCTTCGTCGAGCGGTAGAAGTAAAATTGATCCTCGGCGACAAAGACGGCCACTATTTACCTGTGGAAGTAACTAAACCCTTACCGTCAGAATAATCCTAAAGTGAAATGTTTTTTTTTCAAATGACTACCAACCAACTTGAAAAACAGTGTATAACTTTTATATGTATACATATGGAAAACTGTCCAAGTAGAAAATTTTACTGTTGCTAACTAGTATGTACATACTACATAATATGTACAAACATGATCTCTATGTATACACCCACCACCACTTTATTAGTCGATAGAACTAGTCATGTCGCAATTGATTAATCCTAAAATCTTGTTGAATGTTGTAATTGTAAGCATCACTTTTCTGCTTTTGTACATCTTCTTGTGTAACAACGTTATTTGGGAATTCTTACTCTCATACATAAGCACACGACTTATTTTTATTGTAAAAGACATGACGTATATTGTAATATATGAGAAAATACGTTAAACAATGTAAAAATATTTTATCAAGGTGAATCTCACAATTAATTTTTTATGAAACTAGTCATTTATCCGTTTTTATGTAAAAAGTAATTTAAATTTGATGACAAATGAACGATTTTATGGTTATAAAAATACATTTCGACTTTTGTATCTATGCTATGCTATGCCATACTACTTGTGTGTATTATCTCAATTTCAAAACAGTCTAAAAAAACTTTGTTAATTTAATCGTATTTCGGCAGGTAAACTTTCGCGTGTAATTATGTACAAGAGAAATTTGCATATTGATGTACATAGTATTTTCGCATATGAAAATATTCGCAATATGAACCATGCAAGTTTTAATAAAATGTCAACTGCTTCTGCATACACACGAACTATTACCACACATGTTGTGATGTTTTGTCCAATTTTTTTTTGTTTTTTGGCATAATACGTTTGCATAATTTTGTAACATTCTTGCTTGATTTCTCATTTTCCGAAATCCCGTAACTTTCAAGTTCCACATACATGCTAAATATATTACGTGCGAAATTGCATAAATAAACGGTGCAAATGTTTACACATTTCCAATGTAAATGAAATAATGCTACTTTCCTGCAGAACGAAACCCCATCGCGTCCTGACCTCAAAACCGCATCCGGATAATCCAGTGAGAACGGCTTGAGTGCAGTTGCAAATTGCAACCAAAAGGTAAATTTCTTTGCTTTTTGTAATTCAAGTTTGTCGTTAGTGTAAATATTTGCACAAAATGTATTTATTTAAAGAATTAGTGCAAATTATTTTCTACAGTTTGGCGTCGCAGTTTAGCATAAGTTGCTGAAAATAATACTTTTGTAACAGTTCGGAAACTCGTTATTATGAATCATATTATTATAAAATCTTTGGGTGATACTTTCAATTGCACAAATTGAAATTGCGACACGTATGTATGTATTTGTAACGGGTGGAATGATGTAATTGAAAAATAATCGTTCTTAGAAATTAGTTTTTTGATATTAATTGGTAAAATGTGCTAGTGAGTATAATAAGGAGTAAGGAATGGGATGAGACTCACTGTAAACTGTAGAATCCGGATTTAAGGGCCAATGGTTAGACCGTTTTTTTGATATTGGCAATTACAATTTCAAGCTAACTGCGTCTAGAAATTTTTTGAAAAAAATTTTCACGCAATATAATAGCAGTCATGTAAAGTAGAATAAGCAAAATTATAAATATGCATAAATAAAATGAGCAAAATCTATTATTTGTAACTCTTTTAAAATTATTGAAATTCTTTTAAGTAATTTTTTTATAATCGGCAATAAACTTACTCAAGATTTTGCTAAATATATTTATAATCAATTCAATTTGAATTAGCACGAAGTATATCGTTTCAGTTTTAATCGCAACTTTGTCTACGTGCCAATAATGCAAACGTTTGGCGTTGATGTAAATATTTTGTAGAAAAAAAAATTGCCATAAATTTTTATTTTATTTAATGGCTGATTGTGGAAACCTTCACTTTTACGATTTTATAGAGTTTATACAGTTTTTGAGTTAATTGCGTCAAAAAAAGAAATCATGGTTAAATGAGTTTGACAAAAAATTTTTTCCATAATTTCCTCGTTGTTCCCTCGTCATTCTAAACATTTCAATATTTGCCCTCGCCAACTAACCTAATATAACCCCCGTTTTTTCATTAATTTGAACATTTTATAAAATTATTCACCTCTCAGCAAATTACCAGTTATATTTTAACCACATTGATAAATAAATAATATGAATTCTGCTTAACGAAATCATAAATATTTCCAAAATCACGTAATTTCTGATCAATTTTAATTTGTAAATGCTTGCCCAGCAGGTTTTTCCCCAATTTTGTTTTTTCGTTTCAGATATATTTTGTTTTTTACTCCGTAAAATTATTATTATTACAAATATTTCAAAAATGATACTCACAAGTAATAAGTACGAGTTCGAAGAAAAATTTCCAAAACCTTCAAATTATTAAAAAAATGTGATACGTACATATTAGTCAAAGTTTGATACCGCTTTGAAAATTATAAAATCAACGATTCCACGAAATTGGTTACAGATATGTCTTTGTTTCATAATTTTTAGTTTTCTAACTATTTATGACATTGAAAATTTTACATTGAGGCAATTCACGCAGGTCTTGGCAACTTTGTAATATTCTGGACAAATTTAGCCATTCATCATCTCAAACCTCACGTGAACTACAATTTTTATCGCCTCGTTGCGAAAAGCAATTCAGATAATCAATTCAAGTCAAATTATTGCGAAGTAGTTTAAACTTTAACTGCAATTTTGTTTGCATTGCAACATTTATTGCACAAGTTTTGCGTCGGTGTAAATATTTTGCAGAAAACAAAATCGAAATAACTATTTTTAAAGGTAGGATGATAAGTTAGCTATAATTGATAACTTATCATTATGATTATAAAATATTTTTCATACTGATTTGAACCGTACTCGAGAGGATATTTTTGAAATATTTATTCTTCGCGAGCTTTCATATCCAACTGCAATCTTCATCAGCCAATGGTTTAAGAATGTAAAAAATATAATCGTAAAATGTTCTTATCATATTTGCACTTCATTCTTAAGTAGAAATCCAGTATTATTAAAATAATTATAATATACCAATAGGTATTTATGTATGACTACCAATGTTGTATTGATAAGTAATCCTGTGTGGTAAAATTCTAATGGTAAACTAATGAAATTTGTGATAAAATTTGTGGTAAAGTTTTACCATATTCGTCGGTCTCCATCAATAAAAATTATATTGGTCCAGATTAAGAGATTTTGATTGCGTGGGTGTGGTTTGTGGTTCGCTTCGTTAGTAGATTCATGAGTTCATGACCGACCATGAATCTGTATTATTTGGATATACATTCATGGTCCAAACGGGAACACATACATATGTTTTATATTAAATTCAAATAGAAAATATCTCATAATAATTACTATGTAAGGGTCGATATGATGAGCAACAAATTTCCATGAAATTGTGCATGAAAATGTGTATGCAAAATGTGCATGAAGTTTGTCTTGCATTTGTGAATCGGATTATTTTTAACCTATAAATTTGACTGCTTTACTGAAAACATGATTCGCCCTACTTACTTATTTGAAACAAGTTATTTCCATGCATGTAATAAAGCATTGTCAAAATTTATTAAGTATTAAGCAATTAGCAGCAGGTGTATATATATACTGCGTATGAAATCAAGAACTTTCACTTTTACAATTATTTTTCTATTTTTTCCACCATAAGCTCAAATGTCGGGGCAACCTGAGACATTTGGCGCTATATGTGGAACATATAGTATGTTGTCAGGCACTCTTATGGGAAATGTCGGGGGCTCGTACAAAAAAACGGTTGGGCGTAAAGAGATGCCGTAAAGTGCATTAGATGCCTCTCGAAAAGTTTTAAAATGACTTTTTTCTAATTCATGGTATCTTGAACCATTTTCAAGAAATTCAATAAAAACCGATTTTTCGGTTTCGAAATCATAAATGTTTCGCTGAATGAATTGGGTGCATAACACAAAGTTGTATGTAATAGCAAATATGTTCATAACCGCATTATCTATAATATTTACTCGAAAATTTTTTCGAAATAATGCTAGGTACAGGCGGTAAGTTCAAATTTCCGAAAAATTTTGCAATTTCGGCTACCAATTTCTCCACTGAGCTACAGCCTAGACGATACATTTTGGTAACCTAAACTAAACGGGATCGTATTGGGGAAGGTCCCGGCTAGTGCCCTCGACTGATTGACTTTTTCGAAATAAGCCTTGGTTTTTAAGATATGGCGCGATTTCTAAAATTAAAATCCATAACTCATATTTGGTATGAAAAAATAGAAATTTTCAGCGGTTTTGCCGCATAGCTTGTCTTACTACTTGGATATGTGCATGTACTGTACATGTGCATGTGCATGTGCTCCCGGCACTAAGTCAAGGACATTTCGTGAGTTCGTCACATTGAGTGCATTACCCGAACGAGCCGAATGATTTTATTCTCCGGCACCAGGTATTTTTATTTTGACGTTCAAATAATTTAATTTCGTATGATTTCTACTTGTATTATTTTTATTTTGGCGTACAAGTCATACGAAATTGTATAATTTGATTGAACGTCAAAATAAAAATACCTGGTGCCGGAGAATAAAATCATTCGGCTCTTTCGGGTAATGTACTCCATTGCAATTGCTCGTCTCAAGTCAAACTCTTATATATATATTAATATTAATATAACCAGCTGCAGCTCAGCCGACCCAAGATACAAGAGGACCATAAATTTTAAATATGGTTTTTCTTGAAAAATTTCGAAAATGTTGCTCAGAAAAATATACCAGGTTCGATACCATCCCACCCACTGGTAAGTAGTCCATAAATTACGACTCCCCACCCTCATTGGGCCACCCACAAAATAAAAATCACAATTCGCCAACATTTGCAGTGCAAATTTTGCACATCTCTCTTACTTACAATTAAATACAAGTTAATTAATTAACTACGTTAAATAACGGGTTGATTCTTTTTTCAGGCTCTTCGCCACTTTTCCTCCGAGCTTTACCTCCACCCCATTTTTCGCCACGCTGACACGAATAATAGAATAAATTTACTTTAACCCGACACATACCTGAAACAAATTGTGCGCAGATTCGACACCAGGGAGAATTAAGTACGACACAAGAAGCTTACAGACGTGGCGAGAAAATCCAACGTTAGTATTTAAAAATAGAATTTATTTGCTTATAATTAACGCTTCCGTGCACTGATGCATGTAAATTTGGGAATTTATTTTGCAACTGTAAAATTTATTTGTATTTGCAGATGACAATGAGCGACGACTCCCACCCGGAAGTGACTTTCACTTGGAATCACTTTCTTCCAATGATATGACCGCTTGGTGCAAAGACTTGGAGGAATCTGAGCATATCGACGTCCACAATGGGCAGCTTTGCAAACCTTACTTTCAACAAAGTCTCGACCAGGTAATTAAATATGAACATAAATATTAGAATAGCTAAATTAAGAACAGTTTAATGTTCTACTAAATGAAAGCTGAAATCCAAACTTAATTCAACTTTTCCTCTCACATTACAGCCACCCCAAGTTTCCTCGTCCATCTTCTTGCTCCCTCCCGGAATTTCGAAGTAGTCTAAGAAGAGGGATAGAACTTCAGTGAAAATAGGTTGTTCACGACAACGAAACACTTATAAAATTTATTTTTTAATTATTTTCTATCCCAAAAAGTCAAAATCCGACCTGACTTTGTGCCGTCGTAGCGGCCCTTGCCAAAATCACCTTTCTTAGCTTTTTCGCTCAGAGCTAGTTAACATTATAAACTAAATTTAGAGTAAAAACCTAAGAAAGGTGATTTTGGCCAGACTTGCTACAGCCGTTTCAATTTAGCCGGAAATCATGCCTTGGACAGTACTTATCTTTCAAAAAAACCGATATTTCTTAGGAAAATTAACTCACATATTTTTGTTAACAAGCAGGAAATGGTGGTGTCGTCGAGAGATTAGAATTATTATTTTTATGAATATTGACACGATGATGAGGATGACTTTATGAATATTTGACTTCATGATTTATGTTTATTTGTCATGATAATTTATAATGAACCCACAAATTTTTATGCAAATTGAAATTTCCTGTTACAGATTCCTCCCCCACCTGCATGCACTGTTGGACGTGGAACCTCCCAACTGGGACAAGAACCACGAGTACGGGTCTGCCGACGTGGACGTTTATTACGTCGATGGTCAGCGCGGCGGCTGGGTCAAGACTGAAGAGGGGACCGCTTTACGAGACGTCATGCGACAAGAGAGGTGCGAATTACGTTTTTTTCGCGAATTTGTGCAAATTTTAGTACTTATGTACTTACATATCTCTTGCAGATATTATCTCCCGAGTCGGGAGTCCCGACGAATGGAGTACCTGGATTTTTTATTCTCTCAAAAAAATCAGAATTTTGTAAATTTTTCTTGGAAAGGATGAAATGACATGACATTCAATAAATGAATTGAAAATGTGGAATTATTTTTAACCATTTCTTTATTTGTCGTGTAAGTACTGTAATCAGTCAAAATTAAGTATTTTTGTAAGCCAAGTTTACATTACACCAACGAAACTTCATTAATTTTAATAGCTTATTTAGTTAGTTAATTGTTTGCAAATACGTAAATGGCAAATAACATTAATGAAACCTAGCTAGTGTAAATAATCTCTCATTTTTTCTTACTTATCTCATACGTACTTATAAATTCTAATCATTTTAGTAGTTTAATGGTACTTATCTATATACATTTTTGTACTAATTAATTTGAATTTCATCAGGTCACAAAATGTCATGAATTATTAAGTACTATTTCATGTTTAGATTTGATTTATTGTCCTCTATATTTATTTGGAAGCATATTCTTCAAGTCACATTATTTCATTGTAAATAGTTAAAACTTTATAAAATAGTCGAAACTTGGTAAATAATTTAAGAGAGAAACTGTACAAAAAATTGGTAAAAGTAACCCTACAACTAAAAAATACTGCAAATAACTAAAAATACTTTAAGCTCTATATTTTCATACACTTTTTTACATAACTTTTTCCCCCACCGACCATGGTCTCGATAAAATTGTGAAAAATGTCGTCGGTGTTTTGCTCTTGAAAAGGAAGCAGCACTAAAAATCTTCTGTATCTCCAGAAAGTTGAGAATGGACAGACAATTAACGAGATCCTAGAACTATTTACCTCTGACAGGCTTCTTTCGCTTGATTTTAGGCGACTCCGACTCCTCCTCACGGGGGAGGTGGACGGCGGTAGTATGTTTCTCCAAGTGGGCCTAAAAATCGGGTGAAAATAAATTGTTTACGTTTTCCCCTTATTTGAATTTATTTCGTGTTTTGTTACCTTTTGACGGAACGAGGCGTCGCAAAAGAAGCAGCCGAAAAGCCTCTCACCCGTGTGGGTGTGAGTATGAGCGACTAAATTCCAATTGGAGACGAATGCTGAAGAATTGTACAAATTATGTATTTTTAGTGTTTTATGCTTAATAAAATAAAAGACTGCAAAATTTGGCTCACTCTGTCCACAATGCTGTCACGCAAAGAGATCAATGTTCTTGGCCGGTTTTTTATTATTCAGATTTGCAGAGGACGGCCGTTTTCGTTTTGGTGGTCGTTTCCTATCTTCATCGCTTTCATCTTCTATCTCCTCCCACCTTCGGGTCAGGCGACGTTCTCCAGTCGAAGAAACGTTCCCACTCTTATTGTGACTTCGAAGAATTCGAGTTGCGGTGAAGTTTTGTGGAATCGCGGCGAGTTTTTTTCGTCGAGTCTCGGCGAATTTTTTTCGTGGAGTCTCGGCGAATTTTCCTAGCGTGGCGGAGAGTTTTCGTGGAGTCGCAGCGAGCTTTTTTCGTGGAGTCGTAGCGAGGTCTCGTAGAGTGGCGGCCAGTTTTCGTAGAGTCGTGGCCAAACGGGTGGATCTTCGGGAGAGAGGATGGTTTTGGTCTTGACCAACAACGACACCATCACCCACCATGCTCGCTTCAGAGTGGGATTGCCCGTCTAGAAAAAAATAATAAATAAATTTCCTATCAAAATAAATTTCCTCCAAAAATTTGCTCACCAAGTTCCATTCCAGGATCGATTTCCTGATCAATTCCTACGACATCAATGTCAACATCCTCGTCCTGGTGGTGCTGGTGGGGAACATGTTCTTGGTTGGCGACATGCTCTTCGTGAACGACATGTTTTTGGTGGGCGACATGCTCTTGGTTGGCGACATCTTCTTGGTTGGCGACATGCTTTTTGTCATGCTCTTGGTTGGCGACATGTTCTTGGTTGACGACCTGCTCCATGTTAGCGACAACTTCTTGGTTGGCGACATGCTTTTGGTGGGCGACATCTTCTTGGTTGGCGACATGCTTTTCGTCATGCTCTTGGTTGACGACATGGTCTTGGCTGGCGACAAGTTCTTGGCTGGCGACATGCTCTTGGTTGGCGATATATTCTTCATGAACGACATGTTTTTGATGGTCGTCCGCTACAGCGGCGTCGAGAGGAGGCACCGTTTCGGAAGCTGACACCGATCCAGAATCCGGAATTCCTTCATCCCGCACTATAGATCGTTCGCCATCATCTCGCCATCATTCATCACATCCACTGAAGACCAGTTGAAATTAATTTCACACTCGGCAAAACTCTCATCGATAACCAGTTTGAAAGACCGTTATGTTTCCGCCGTCATCATCGTCGAGCTGAGCACTGGCCAAATCCTGACGAACAAAAAATATGGCAAATAATGTTCATAAAAATTTCATTCCGCAAAATTCTAATTACATTTCTTACCTGTTGGAGTTGTACATCGTCTGACCGTGATTTCGACCCTTGCGGGGAGGATGGCCTGGTTGCAGGTGGATGAACATGCATCACAGGAAAAGTCGGATGGTAAAAGTTGTCAATGAGGAATTTCCCATTTCCGTGACCAGGTTGGACGCCGAGCAGGTTCAACCACCCTGCCGAGCTGTTGGAGGGGCACGGTCACCTCGCCGCCGTACATGAACTCGGCGAGGACAAGCATGTCGGGCAGGATTATGGTGTACACGTCGAGGGGGATTTCCATCCCGGCGAAGATCTAGGGGAAAAAATCAGAAATTTAATAATTTCTTAAAATTAAGATATGCAAATGTTGGCGAATTGTGATTTTTATCTTAGTGGGTGTGTCGATGAGGGTGGGGAGTTGTAGTTTATGGACTACTTACCAGTTGGTGGGACGATATCCAACCTGGTATATTTTTCTGAGCAACATTTTCGACATTTTTTAGAAAAACAAAAATTAAATAAAGTTTATGTTCCTCTTTGGGCCAGCTGGCTGAACTGCTCCAGTGATACTGGTTATATTAAAATATATATCAATATAAGAGCTTGAGTTGAGACGATTAATAATTGTTTTAAATGAAATACATTACCCGAATGAGCCGAATGATTTTATTCTCTAACACCAGTTATTTTTATTTTGGTGTTAAAATTATGCAATTTATTTATTCTCTAATACCAGTTATTTTTATTTTGGCGTTCAAATTATGCAATTTATTTATTCTCTAACACCAGTTATTTTTATTTTGGCGTTCAAATTATGCAATTTATTTATTCTCTAACACCAGTTATTTTTATTTTGGCGTTCAAATTATGCAATTTATTTATTCTCTAACACCAGTTATTTTTATTTTGGCGTTCAAATTATGCAATTTATTTATTCTCTAACACCAGTTATTTTTATTTTGGCGTTCAAATTATGCAATTTATTTATTCTCTAATACCAGTTATTTTTATTTTGGTGTTAAAATTATGCAATTTATTTATTCTCTAATACCAGTTATTTTTATTTTGGTGTTAAAATTATGCAATTTATTTATTCTCTAATACCAGTTATTTTTATTTTGGCGTTCAAATTATGCAATTTATATTTATTACGACAATTTTTATTTTGCCGTTTAAACGGCTTTTCAATTTCGTATGATTTCTACGCCAAAAAAAATTGTCGTAATAAATATAAATTGCATAATTTGAACGCCAAAATAAAAATAACTGGCGTTAGAGAATAAAGAAATTCGGCTCATGCGGCTAATGTACTCAATGCGATGAACTCACGAAATGTGATTAATAATAAAGTCCTTGACTTACTATTAGTGCCGGGAGCATATGCATCCATGCACATGCAAACATGCACATGCACATCCAGGGTGCGCCACCCCGAGTTTTTGTGGGTTTTTGGGATATCAAATCCCCGGAAAAACCGTAATGCCTAACGGGGTTTTTGTGTTTTTTTTCAGGGTTTTTGCAAAATTTTGGGGCAAATTAAAACAAAATTCGTCTAATTACAATTTAAATAATATTAACAAATTTGATAGATTATAGCTAACTTTATACAAACTAAGAGTAGATAATATCTTACGTACATATATATTGTTAAGTTAAATATAGTAATTTAGCCCTTAGTTATTGTTATTTAATCATTTAAAGTAAGTTATTTCTGTTTGTAAGCTCACGAAAATAGGCTAGTGTGCTATGCTAAAATTTCATTTTGTGCATTCCCTAGTACTAGTAAATGAGGGTAATAAAGGCTATTATTATTATATTATTATTAACTCAATTTCCAGATTAGGTATGTCGAAATTTGGAGCATTTTTATATACGACTTAAATTTCCAGTAATCCTGGTTTCCTGTTTGGTTTACATGTTTAACATGAACTTTTGACTTAAAAATCTACGTCAATAAAAATACTTCAAATTTCATGTTGAATTCGAACATTAAGCTAGGTTTACTCTAGTATAAAATGTTAGGAACCCCCTAAAATCTACAAAAACCCACAAAAACCCACAAAAACCCCGGAAAACCCCCGGGGTTGGGTTTTTCGAACATATCACCCTGCACACATCACCACCACCAAAAAAATCAGCCAGCCAAACAGCCTTGCATTGTCCTCTCCCTCCAGTCAGGCAAAAAGACGCTTTGCGGATATGCTCCAATTTTTGCGTCCGAACTGAACTTTGAAACACGGTGAAAAAATTTGTTTAATAGTTGTTTGTAAAGGCTGCCGTTCTCGATATAAAGAATAGAGTAAAGAAAGAAAAGTAATTAATAAGTAAAATTAATAAATCTGCAATGGTACCCGTAATAAGAAACTTACGAAAGTGAAAGTGTGATGACTATGACCGAATGGTGTTTAAGCTGAAAAATTTATCCCACAATCACTTCTAGACTCTAAAACTGTTCGGTGGCTTCATGGACGTGAATTTTAGTTTATCAATATATTTTTGCCTTATCAAGAAATTCTGTATGAGTATCAAAAGCTTGCAAAAATAAAAACTTCAAGTTAAAATATCCTCCGCCTCGGATACCGATGTTAAAGATTAATATAATTATATAAACTATAAATTAACTTCAAATCTATAAAATCTTGCAAAACACATAATTACATGGTTAGATTTATAAAATTGTCTTGTTGGTTTTGAGAACTATTGTTAAAAAGTTGGTTAGTTATTAGTGTGTGCTTGATTTAACAACTTATGACTGTAACGACTTAGCATCATCCTAGACACAATATTTTAAAAATTAGTAGGTGATCTGATCTGAAGAAGGGTTTCACTCAGGTGAGAAGACTTGTGCGATTTTTTTTGCACATTTTCGTTTTTGATGAAGAATTTCAATTTTTGAAGCATTATTTCAATTTGCAAGGAATAATTTTTAAACAAGAAGAAGGAGGGACCGAGGTGGACAAGGATCCACCCACCACCAACACAACCGTAATTATAAATTCATAATTTCTATAAATTATTAATACCCAATCACATTTCCGCTAAACTTGTACAATAGAAATTTTAAAGCTTCGAGTATTAGTAACTATTGAATACTTAATTATGCATCCTTTTCTCCAGCAACGTTCCCCACTTCCGGCCAACCTCCGCCGCCCCCCGCCAACATCGGAGGAACTCGCCGATTTAGAAACGTCTCTTGTGAACCACCCCTTTTTCAATCTCAAATGGACGCCTTCTCCCCGTCCGAATCGCTCACCCTGCTGCTCCACGCCTTACAACAGTTGAAATATTCCCCCGATGAAAATACCCACCTCGAACTCTCCCTGCAGTACAAGACGGACGGCCACTTTCTATTCAACTTGGGAAAGCATCGCATCGCCGCGAGTATTTTTAGCGAAGCGATAAAAACTATGGAGCAAGGTGGGGAAACAAGTTGTGAGGAAGAAGAAGAAGTCACGGCGAAAATTGACGCCCTGCTCCCCACTTTGTACAACAACAGAGGAGTTTGTCAATCCAACGTGGACAATTTCCGGTCGGCGTTGACCGACTTTGAAAACGCGCTCCCGGATTCTGAGGTAGGAAGAGTCAAATTAGAAAATGTAAATGTAAATTTTTGCACATTTTGATGAAAATTTGATGAATTTGGGGGACTTTTAAGTAAATTTTTAAGCGAATTATGGTGAATATTTTGGAATTTGACGTTGTTTTTTTTTACCCTCGGCTAATCGAAAATTCCTTAATTTTCATACTTCCATATTTTGCAAACTGGCTAAATTTCTGATATTCAAATTGAATTTGCAACTTTTTACAGGGAAACGCCCAACTGTCGCGACACAAAGAGAAATCCGCAAAAGCGAAGCAGACAAAAGAGTCGTTCATCCTTATGGAACGGATTGGAAATTCAGGGGTGAAAATGTTAAATGCCAATTTTCTCCAGGTCGAGGGGGGTAGCGACGCAGTGGTGAAAATTAATTCTGACGAACTCGTCTGGCCGGTTTTATTTTGGTACCCGGAGTTTTCCACGTCCAATGTTGTAAAGGAGTTTCGAGAGACGGATGAGTAAGTTTAGGGACACATTTTTATGAATTTTTGCATGGGTTCGATTTCTGATTTTTTTTAATGGAAAACGGGAGGAATAAAATCCCGGAAAATTCCCACGGCCCGTAAAATATGGACCCAAAACTATCAAAATTTCCTCCAAAATTCTGAAAATTCTCAGAAACATTCAAAATTTCCGAAAAATGTTAAAAAAATTCATTTAAAAGGCTCAGAAATTCTAAAAAATGCTCAAAAATTTGGGGAAACTGTTAAAAAGTATAAAAATTTTATAAAGATGCTCGAAAATTCCAAATATTTTGTAATGTGTGTGACAGCGTGTCTGACATAACTTTTTTCCTCAGTTTTCGTCCTCCGCTTTCCCCGAAAAGTTTCCACTTTTCCATCACAAATCGAACCCACGAATTTTTATGCAAATTGAAATTTCCTCTGTTACAGATTCCTCCCACACGTCGATGGCCAGAGTGGGGGTTGGGTCAAGGTTGACCAGGGGACCGCTTTACGCGACGTCATGCGACAAAATGGGTAAATGCGAATTGTATATTTTTTCGCAAATTTGTGCAAATTTTAATACTTACATATCTCTTGCAGGTACTATCTCCCGACGAATGGAGTCCCTGCTTTTTCCGTCATCTCCAAGACATCCAAATTTTCTAAAGTTTTTCAATTCGTAATAGAAGCCAAGTATGGGTCCGAACCTTTTAATATTAATTTAAGACTAATTTAATTTAATTCAGCACATTCTTATTAATTTCTCGGCTCTGGGAATTTATTTTTAAATTCTGGATGACAGGATTGAAGAGCCAATTTAATAAAAATGTACAATCCAGATTTTAACAGATTATGAGGAATAAGATAGTTTCCCTACTAATTACACATATTTGAGCAAAATTATTTTCTTAGCTACCAAAGTATTATTGGAAATTTTACGTTGTTCGGGATTTTACACCTTGAAAGATTTCCATTGACTAGCAGAATTTTTAAAATATAATTACGTATGATTACATACATCAGTACAGCTTTACTTATCCCGAACCAGGATTAATTTGTCAACTCGTGGTTATCACTAGTTATCTGTAAAATTATCTGCTACTATGTTGCATTAATTTTTCGGAGAAATGAAAATTTTATGAAAATTTTATGAAAATTTTAAAATTCAACCCTCCTAAACGCTCTAATCACAAGTTATTTTGTCGACTGCACGCTAAATTTCAGCTTATTATAATAAGCTGAAATTTCTAAATCGGCGAGTTCCTCCGATGTTGGCGGGGGGCGGCGGAGGTTGGCCGGAAGTGGGGAACGTTGCTGGAGAAAAGGATGCATAATTAAGTATTCAATAGTTACTAATACTCGAAGCTTTAAAATTTCTATTGTACAAGTTTAGCGGAAATGTGATTGGGTATTAATAATTTATAGAAATTATGAATTTATAATTACGGTTGTGTTGGTGGTGGGTGGATCCTTGTCCACCTCGGTCCCTCCTTCTTCTTGTTTAAAAATTATTCCTTGCAAATTGAAATAATGCTTCAAAAATTGAAATTCTTCATCAAAAACGAAAATGTGCAAAAAAAATCGCACAAGTCTTCTCACCTGAGTGAAACCCTTCTTCAGATCAGATCACCTACTAATTTTTAAAATATTGTGTCTAGGATGATGCTAAGTCGTTACAGTCATAAGTTGTTAAATCAAGCACACACTAATAACTAACCAACTTTTTAACAATAGTTCTCAAAACCAACAAGACAATTTTATAAATCTAACCATGTAATTATGTGTTTTGCAAGATTTTATAGATTTGAAGTTAATTTATAGTTTATATAATTATATTAATCTTTAACATCGGTATCCGAGGCGGAGGATATTTTAACTTGAAGTTTTTATTTTTGCAAGCTTTTGATACTCATACAGAATTTCTTGATAAGGCAAAAATATATTGATAAACTAAAATTCACGTCCATGAAGCCACCGAACAGTTTTAGAGTCTAGAAGTGATTGTGGGATAAATTTTTCAGCTTAAACACCATTCGGTCATAGTCATCACACTTTCACTTTCGTAAGTTTCTTATTACGGGTACCATTGCAGATTTATTAATTTTACTTATTAATTACTTTTCTTTCTTTACTCTATTCTTTATATCGAGAACGGCAGCCTTTACAAACAACTATTAAACAAATTTTTTCACCGTGTTTCAAAGTTCAGTTCGGACGCAAAAATTGGAGCATATCCGCAAAGCGTCTTTTTGCCTGACTGGAGGGAGAGGACAATGCAAGGCTGTTTGGCTGGCTGATTTTTTTGGTGGTGGTGATGTGTGCAGGGTGATATGTTCGAAAAACCCAACCCCGGGGGTTTTCCGGGGTTTTTGTGGGTTTTTGTGGGTTTTTGTAGATTTTAGGGGGTTCCTAACATTTTATACTAGAGTAAACCTAGCTTAATGTTCGAATTCAACATGAAATTTGAAGTATTTTTATTGACGTAGATTTTTAAGTCAAAAGTTCATGTTAAACATGTAAACCAAACAGGAAACCAGGATTACTGGAAATTTAAGTCGTATATAAAAATGCTCCAAATTTCGACATACCTAATCTGGAAATTGAGTTAATAATAATATAATAATAATAGCCTTTATTACCCTCATTTACTAGTACTAGGGAATGCACAAAATGAAATTTTAGCATAGCACACTAGCCTATTTTCGTGAGCTTACAAACAGAAATAACTTACTTTAAATGATTAAATAACAATAACTAAGGGCTAAATTACTATATTTAACTTAACAATATATATGTACGTAAGATATTATCTACTCTTAGTTTGTATAAAGTTAGCTATAATCTATCAAATTTGTTAATATTATTTAAATTGTAATTAGACGAATTTTGTTTTAATTTGCCCCAAAATTTTGCAAAAACCCTGAAAAAAAACACAAAAACCCCGTTAGGCATTACGGTTTTTCCGGGGATTTGATATCCCAAAAACCCACAAAAACTCGGGGTGGCGCACCCTGGATGTGCATGTGCATGTTTGCATGTGCATGGATGCATATGCTCCCGGCACTAATAGTAAGTCAAGGACTTTATTATTAATCACATTTCGTGAGTTCATCGCATTGAGTACATTAGCCGCATGAGCCGAATTTCTTTATTCTCTAACGCCAGTTATTTTTATTTTGGCGTTCAAATTATGCAATTTATATTTATTACGACAATTTTTTTTGGCGTAGAAATCATACGAAATTGAAAAGCCGTTTAAACGGCAAAATAAAAATTGTCGTAATAAATATAAATTGCATAATTTGAACGCCAAAATAAAAATAACTGGTATTAGAGAATAAATAAATTGCATAATTTTAACACCAAAATAAAAATAACTGGTATTAGAGAATAAATAAATTGCATAATTTTAACACCAAAATAAAAATAACTGGTATTAGAGAATAAATAAATTGCATAATTTGAACGCCAAAATAAAAATAACTGGTGTTAGAGAATAAATAAATTGCATAATTTGAACGCCAAAATAAAAATAACTGGTGTTAGAGAATAAATAAATTGCATAATTTGAACGCCAAAATAAAAATAACTGGTGTTAGAGAATAAATAAATTGCATAATTTGAACGCCAAAATAAAAATAACTGGTGTTAGAGAATAAATAAATTGCATAATTTGAACGCCAAAATAAAAATAACTGGTATTAGAGAATAAATAAATTGCATAATTTTAACACCAAAATAAAAATAACTGGTGTTAGAGAATAAAATCATTCGGCTCATTCGGGTAATGTATTTCATTTAAAACAATTATTAATCGTCTCAACTCAAGCTCTTATATTGATATATATTTTAATATAACCAGTATCACTGGAGCAGTTCAGCCAGCTGGCCCAAAGAGGAACATAAACTTTATTTAATTTTTGTTTTTCTAAAAAATGTCGAAAATGTTGCTCAGAAAAATATACCAGGTTGGATATCGTCCCACCAACTGGTAAGTAGTCCATAAACTACAACTCCCCACCCTCATCGACACACCCACTAAGATAAAAATCACAATTCGCCAACATTTGCATATCTTAATTTTAAGAAATTATTAAATTTCTGATTTTTTCCCCTAGATCTTCGCCGGGATGGAAATCCCCCTCGACGTGTACACCATAATCCTGCCCGACATGCTTGTCCTCGCCGAGTTCATGTACGGCGGCGAGGTGACCGTGCCCCTCCAACAGCTCGGCAGGGTGGTTGAACCTGCTCGGCGTCCAACCTGGTCACGGAAATGGGAAATTCCTCATTGACAACTTTTACCATCCGACTTTTCCTGTGATGCATGTTCATCCACCTGCAACCAGGCCATCGTCCCCGCAAGGGTCGAAATCACGGTCAGACGATGTACAACTCCAACAGGTAAGAAATGTAATTAGAATTTTGCGGAATGAAATTTTTATGAACATTATTTGCCATATTTTTTGTTCGTCAGGATTTGGCCAGTGCTCAGCTCGACGATGATGACGGCGGAAACATAACGGTCTTTCAAACTGGTTATCGATGAGAGTTTTGCCGAGTGTGAAATTAATTTCAACTGGTCTTCAGTGGATGTGATGAATGATGGCGAGATGATGGCGAACGATCTATAGTGCGGGATGAAGGAATTCCGGATTCTGGATCGGTGTCAGCTTCCGAAACGGTGCCTCCTCTCGACGCCGCTGTAGCGGACGACCATCAAAAACATGTCGTTCATGAAGAATATATCGCCAACCAAGAGCATGTCGCCAGCCAAGAACTTGTCGCCAGCCAAGACCATGTCGTCAACCAAGAGCATGACGAAAAGCATGTCGCCAACCAAGAAGATGTCGCCCACCAAAAGCATGTCGCCAACCAAGAAGTTGTCGCTAACATGGAGCAGGTCGTCAACCAAGAACATGTCGCCAACCAAGAGCATGACAAAAAGCATGTCGCCAACCAAGAAGATGTCGCCAACCAAGAGCATGTCGCCCACCAAAAACATGTCGTTCACGAAGAGCATGTCGCCAACCAAGAACATGTTCCCCACCAGCACCACCAGGACGAGGATGTTGACATTGATGTCGTAGGAATTGATCAGGAAATCGATCCTGGAATGGAACTTGGTGAGCAAATTTTTGGAGGAAATTTATTTTGATAGGAAATTTATTTATTATTTTTTTCTAGACGGGCAATCCCACTCTGAAGCGAGCATGGTGGGTGATGGTGTCGTTGTTGGTCAAGACCAAAACCATCCTCTCTCCCGAAGATCCACCCGTTTGGCCACGACTCTACGAAAACTGGCCGCCACTCTACGAGACCTCGCTACGACTCCACGAAAAAAGCTCGCTGCGACTCCACGAAAACTCTCCGCCACGCTAGGAAAATTCGCCGAGACTCCACGAAAAAAATTCGCCGAGACTCGACGAAAAAAACTCGCCGCGATTCCACAAAACTTCACCGCAACTCGAATTCTTCGAAGTCACAATAAGAGTGGGAACGTTTCTTCGACTGGAGAACGTCGCCTGACCCGAAGGTGGGAGGAGATAGAAGATGAAAGCGATGAAGATAGGAAACGACCACCAAAACGAAAACGGCCGTCCTCTGCAAATCTGAATAATAAAAAACCGGCCAAGAACATTGATCTCTTTGCGTGACAGCATTGTGGACAGAGTGAGCCAAATTTTGCAGTCTTTTATTTTATTAAGCATAAAACACTAAAAATACATAATTTGTACAATTCTTCAGCATTCGTCTCCAATTGGAATTTAGTCGCTCATACTCACACCCACACGGGTGAGAGGCTTTTCGGCTGCTTCTTTTGCGACGCCTCGTTCCGTCAAAAGGTAACAAAACACGAAATAAATTCAAATAAGGGGAAAACGTAAACAATTTATTTTCACCCGATTTTTAGGCCCACTTGGAGAAACATACTACCGCCGTCCACCTCCCCCGTGAGGAGGAGTCGGAGTCGCCTAAAATCAAGCGAAAGAAGCCTGTCAGAGGTAAATAGTTCTAGGATCTCGTTAATTGTCTGTCCATTCTCAACTTTCTGGAGATACAGAAGATTTTTAGTGCTGCTTCCTTTTCAAGAGCAAAACACCGACGACATTTTTCACAATTTTATCGAGACCATGGTCGGTGGGGGAAAAAGTTATGTAAAAAAGTGTATGAAAATATAGAGCTTAAAGTATTTTTAGTTATTTGCAGTATTTTTTAGTTGTAGGGTTACTTTTACCAATTTTTTGTACAGTTTCTCTCTTAAATTATTTACCAAGTTTCGACTATTTTATAAAGTTTTAACTATTTACAATGAAATAATGTGACTTGAAGAATATGCTTCCAAATAAATATAGAGGACAATAAATCAAATCTAAACATGAAATAGTACTTAATAATTCATGACATTTTGTGACCTGATGAAATTCAAATTAATTAGTACAAAAATGTATATAGATAAGTACCATTAAACTACTAAAATGATTAGAATTTATAAGTACGTATGAGATAAGTAAGAAAAAATGAGAGATTATTTACACTAGCTAGGTTTCATTAATGTTATTTGCCATTTACGTATTTGCAAACAATTAACTAACTAAATAAGCTATTAAAATTAATGAAGTTTCGTTGGTGTAATGTAAACTTGGCTTACAAAAATACTTAATTTTGACTGATTACAGTACTTACACGACAAATAAAGAAATGGTTAAAAATAATTCCACATTTTCAATTCATTTATTGAATGTCATGTCATTTCATCCTTTCCAAGAAAAATTTACAAAATTCTGATTTTTTTGAGAGAATAAAAAATCCAGGTACTCCATTCGTCGGGACTCCCGACTCGGGAGATAATATCTGCAAGAGATATGTAAGTACATAAGTACTAAAATTTGCACAAATTCGCGAAAAAAACGTAATTCGCACCTCTCTTGTCGCATGACGTCTCGTAAAGCGGTCCCCTCTTCAGTCTTGACCCAGCCGCCGCGCTGACCATCGACGTAATAAACGTCCACGTCGGCAGACCCGTACTCGTGGTTCTTGTCCCAGTTGGGAGGTTCCACGTCCAACAGTGCATGCAGGTGGGGGAGGAATCTGTAACAGGAAATTTCAATTTGCATAAAAATTTGTGGGTTCATTATAAATTATCATGACAAATAAACATAAATCATGAAGTCAAATATTCATAAAGTCATCCTCATCATCGTGTCAATATTCATAAAAATAATAATTCTAATCTCTCGACGACACCACCATTTCCTGCTTGTTAACAAAAATATGTGAGTTAATTTTCCTAAGAAATATCGGTTTTTTTGAAATTTAAGGTTACGGATTTTACAAATTTGCCAAGATCTACGTCAATGTAAAATTTTCGATACAGCTAGAAAATTATGAAACAGAAACAAAGACATCTCATCTGTGACCAGTTTCTTGGAATCGTTGATTTGACAATTTTTCAAAGCGATGTCAAACTTTGACTAATATGTAAGTATCACATTTGAAAATATTTTGAGGGTTTTGCAAATTTTTATTCGAAATCGTACTTGTTACTTGTGAGTATCATATATTTCAAAAATCATAATTTCAAATATAAATTTCCAAAACCTTCAAATTATTTTCAAATGTGATACTTACATATTAGTCAAAGTTTGACATCGCTTTGAAAAATTATCAAATCAGCGATTGTACGAAACTGGTTACAGATGAGATGTCTTTGTTTCATAATTTTCTAGCAGTTTTTTATAGCATCGAAAATTTTATATTGAGGCAATTCACGCAGATCTTGCTTGGCAACTTTGTAATATCCGTAACCTTAAATTTTAAACACACGAACACGATGTGATATTTCTTAGGAAAATTAATTCACAAATTTTTGTAAACTTGCTCGGATCAAGGGTGTCTGTTTATTTGTAAAGGTGTGTAAAGTTATTTTGCTAAACTTACTTCAGAATTTTCTAACCCAACTGATTATAGAAAGCTGTCACCTTACAAATTTTACAGAGTTTACACAGTTTTCGAGAGAATTTCGTCAAAAAATGAAAATCATGATTTGAAAAAGGGTTTGAAAAATTTCCAAAAATGTGTGCTAATTTTATTTTCCTGGGGAGGGTATACCCACAAAAAGACGAAAATCTGCATGGCCATGACAGTAATCATATACTTTGTTTGCACGATTTTCTAAAAATAGTATTTTTCCAGCGATAAAAGGTTAATTTCTTCATCAAATCTAGTATTTTCGTATGACGGCTGTCTTGTGCATGTAGATTCTCGCATTTTTGTGGGTGTTGATACCGTTTTAAAAACGGTATCAATTTACTTAATCCAAAGCAATTAATTTTTCATCCCAAAATTACGAAGCAAATTATCATTACTAAAGTCGGTCATTTCATAATGAAATATCCATTTCAGAAGATTGAAACCTTATTGCACAACGCAAATTACTAATTGAAAGGAATGAAATCATGTCCAGGATTATTTTAACAAAGCAATTTGAGCCGAATTTACGAGAATTCTGGACACACCAGTTGTTCTCCGATTGTTCAGAGTATTGTTCTTATAATGAACATACATACGTGGATTTAGCATCTATTTTTATTGTGTCGATATTAGTGTTTCGTTGGATTAGGTTTTCCAGGGCTTAAATTCATCTCGGTTGTGTGACAACCATCTCGTCTCATTAATAAATCTGCTTATTACAGCGAATCTACGAGTATCTGGTCCATTTGGACATCAACTTTTTGATCATTGTGAACTCGTTCTCGTCTCAACGAGACAGGGGTTACACCCACAAAAATGCGAGAATCTGCATGCACAAGACAGTCGTCATACGAAAATACTAGGTTTGATGAAGAAATTAACATTTTATCGCTGGAAAAACACGCTATTTTTAGAAAATCGTGGAAACAAAGTATATTAATTTCTTCACAAAACCTGTATTTTCATATGATTACTGTCTTTATGTCCATGCAGATTTTTGTCTTTTTGTGGGTATACCTCCCCTGGAAAATAAAATTAGCACACATTTTTGGAAATTTTTCAAACCCTTTTAAGCTTGATTTTCATTTTTAGACGAAATTTTCTCGAAAACTGTGTAAACTCTGTAAAATTGGTAAGGTGAAAGCTTTCTATAATCAGTTGGGTTAGGAAATTGTGTCCTCAAGCAGTCAGTAATAACTTATAAAATCCGTAATTTAAAAAAAATAATTTTACAAACTTTTACAAAATCAAAATCCCTTGATCTGAGCAAGTTTACAAAAATTTGTAGGCTACTTTTCCTTCGAAATATTTTTGAAATTTTGTAAACTTACAGAATGGGCGGATTTTACAATGTTACCAGGACCTGCGTGAATTGTCTCAATTTTAGATTTTTGTGTATTTTAATAATAATTTTTGTCAAGTTTTCCTGCCCAAATTATTTTTACCTAATTTTGTTATAACTTGTAGTTAAAACAGATAATGAAAATTTGGTACGGGGAATCCCCGTCGGGGATGTGACTAGGTTTTGAACTTCAACTACTTGTAAAGATTATAATAGTTGTCATTTTTTTGGTCTAAATTTTCAATAATATAATTGCTTTTCCTGCCAAGGAGAACAAATATTTAAAAATATATTCATTGTAACACTGTAAAATCTGTAAAGTTACAAATTTCTTTCCAATTTTAGAAATATTTCTCAAAAAAGTTAGCTTACAAATTTTTGTAAACTTACTACTCAGATCAAGGCGTCTTTTTATTTTGTAAAAGTTTGCAAAATTATTTTACAAAACTTGTAGATTTTACAAAGTTACAAAAGACTGCGTGAATTACTCTATGTAACGTATCGTTTTGAAAAGATCACGAAATAAAAATATCAAGCGGAAATTTTCTTGAACCTGATTTTCTTTGAAATCTTGTTGTAAATTGATCTAATTAACTTACATAGACAATTAGGCGAGCCGTGATCTAATTGTTGTTAAAGATTAGGAAAATTTGTCTAAAACAATATCGACGTCGAAGTCTTTACAAAATAAAAAGTCGTCCAAGTTTATAAAACATATTTTGTACCCTGATTTTCCTTAGTAATCTTTATTGTTGGTTGAAACTGAAAAGTTAAGGAAAACTGTTAAGCTCTCTCGACCTGGTAGGATTATCTCTCTGGGGGTAAATTTCGATCAACAATTGTGAACTTTCTCCAGAAACGTAAATACTTTATGGGCCATTTTGTACAATTTTTTTTAGAAATTGTAAATCACCGATTAAAATCACAAATTTAATTAATATGACATTTACAAAAAAACACTATCTGGCAATGCTTACGTTTGGCAGAGATTTTTACATCTGAAGAGAAGAAAATCAACAAAAAATTTGTAATATCTAAAATTTTTATATTTTAGGGCTCACTCTATCCTCTTTGGGTGTAAATACCACCGCCTATTGGGAGATCCTCTGTAAATTTTATATTGATCAATTAAGTCTAATTTTCTCAAAAATTTTCAAAAATTTTCAAAAATTTTCTCAAAATCGGAGAGCATATGCTGAGAGACCTGCATTGTTAGAAATGCTACTAGGGGTGTATTAATAATAGGGGTGTATAGGGGTGTAATAATGGATCTAATTACCATATCAATTGAAGTATTTAGATTTATCCAAAAAAAATATCGTCGTCAAAGTCTGAACAAAATAAAAATTCGTCAATTTCTTCAAGTTTACGAAACATAGAGGACATCGAGTTCGGAAAGTTCGATAAAAATACGGCTTGAAAATTAATTTGCGAACTTGCGAATCTCCAGGGCTATAGTATTTAAGTCGCAAAATACTTTTCATAAATTTTACAATGGGAAAAGTCCATAAATCTATTAAATTTGGCCCTTTGAATTTTTGAAATTACTTATTTGGTAAAATTTGTTATTGTGTTAATTTCAAGCGCAAAACTTGGGTGAATAATGGAAATTAACGGATTTTTCCCATTACAAAATTCGATACATTAGTGTACCGAATTGTCGGAAATTTGCCATTCACAAAGTGTCTTCACACTCAGAATAAAATGTAAGCAAATTGCTACTGGGCGTTGTCTATATATGACCTCACCGGTTTGGTAGCGATTTTCTACAGAATTGTAGTAAATTTGCTACCATCTTGTAGCATTTCCTTATCCCGCTGTTACGGTTAGTCAAAATGTGGTAGCAAATTTACTACAATTCCGTAGAAAATCGCTACCAAACCGTTGAGGTCATATATAGACACCGCCCAGTGGCAATTTGCCAGGGTTGGCCAAGATACTTTGTTTCAAAGATACAAGATACAAGATACAAAATATTTGAACGAAACCTTAAGATACAAGATCCTAAATACAAATAATTAGAGTTACACAAGATACAAGATACAAGATAGATTTTGTCTGCTATGATCCCAGATACAAGATACAAGATATTTATTTGAAATAATTTTTTCAAGATACAAGATAAATTATTCAGAGCTTGCAAAAAAAACATGAAATAACGAAGCACCACTTGATTTTTTGTATTGTAGCCGAGTAACTTGTTAATAATGATAGTATACGACTAAGAACTTGCATTATAATTTATAATGCGAGTCCTCACCCTCTGTTTACAATTTATAAACAAATATGAGGATTTCATCTGTGGTGACCCATACTGATTTTTTAAAATAATTCTACGGAGCTGAAATTATTATTACCAGTATATTCAGTTGAAATTTGGAATAATTTCTATAATGGTGGTACAAATTAGGAATATAATGCTAATTACAAAATTTGCCAACGTGTGAGGGTTTATTTACTGTACATAAATAAATATTACGACGTTATACAACAGAACCTTGCATCCGGCTCGGCAAAGCTGTGCACTGAGGTTTTTAAATCTTCATAATTCCAAGTTTTAATACTACCAAATATGAAAGTTTCCCGGTTTTTCACTAAAAACTTATCTTGTATCTTGACTAGTATTTCAAATAAAATTTGATCGAAATAAATTCTCCAGATACAAGATACAAGATACAAAATACTTTTGCGAAACGTTCAGATACAAGATACAAGATAAGATAAACTCCGTTACACAAGATACAAGATACAAGATTTATCTTGTATCTTGTATCTGATATCTTGTATCTTGTTAAACTATCTTGGCCAACCCTGCAATTTGCTTACATTTTATTCTGAGTGCACTTGGAAAAAGATACTATATATAAATATATGTGTCATGACATGTGTCTTCACTTCGCTGCATCGCAAAATTCGAAAGTAAAGTTTTGATAAACTGACAATGGAGGTCTCCCAACGTATGCTCACAGATTTGGATTAAACTAGCCTCAATCAATCGAAAATATAATTAGTATGAAATTTGCAAATGGCACTATCTGCTAATGCTCAAGTTTAGTGGAGATATTTGCATAAAATAGGAGAAGACACACCCCCAAGGCTGGCAAATTTTTCATTTTCCAAATTTGCTGCGCATTTTTCCCGCTTTGGATGCAAATATCTCCGCCAAACCTGCGCATTGGCAGATAGTTCCATTTGCAAATTTCATACTAATTAAATTTGTGATCGATTGACGCTAGTTTGGTCCAAGTCTGTGAATATACGTTGGGAGACCTCCATTGTGAGTAAACAGATGAGATAACGGGGGACGCAATTGTGAAGAAGCGATAAAAAAGATGAGGTTGATGTTCTTTAGATGGAAAATAATTTGCCTACGCGGAAAACTTCAATTATTATGTACTTTTAATGGATAATTTTACAATACAAAGCGAAATAATTACTCGCTTGTCTCATCTCGTCATTAAATTTAATAAATACTGCAACAATTATGCCATCCCCAAAAAATAATTAACCCACCCTCCCAATTAATTTTAACAACCACAATTAAAAAGATGAAGGTGTGTGTCTCCTTAATTTATTCAATTTTAATCTCTACCCAAATACAACGCAAAATTAGATTAATTTACGAATTAATTTACGAAACTATGTATTATCTTATCCAACAATAATTTCAGAATTACACATGTACATATTTATCGAGTGACAAAATCTTCTTATCCATTATACAAACATTTTTCTAGTACGAAATAAATTACGTATTTTTTCTGAGCAGTGATAAAGAACTTTTCGGGAAATTTTTTCCAAAACTTTCACAACTACAAACTTTCTTCCTGGTTCTTGTCAAACTTTAAGTTCTGCTTCATTCTCATTGTTCGAGTCACTATTGTACGTATCACTGTAATCGATTCGAACCCCGCGGCGGAGCGTTCCTCCGCCACTGGGCGTCGCACTACACCCCCCTCTCGGCGGGGGATATGGTTTCGTAGTATTTGTAACACTGGACGACGTACTGGAACCACCGCCACCACCCAGAAATGAGGTTAGTCCACCATTGCACCGGGGCAAGGTTGCTATCGCGAGTGGCGTCATGGCCGTCGTCGACATGACCGTGGTCGACGAGGTGGAGGAAAGCTGACTTGACGCCACGCTGGGCGACGACGTCTGTTGGTGTTGGTGATGAAAGTAGTTTCGAGGGAGGGTGTGGGTCGTGTAATTGGCAGGGTGGGTGGTCTCATGGGAGGCGAGGTTATCTGGAAAGGGGGAAGATAAGTATATAATTTTAGCTTATTTTGGAGGTACTGAAGTTGTGCGAAAAATTTATGCGAAAAATTTGCATATTTTTTAAGAAAGTAAGCAGTTTAGGTCAACGGACTTATATTAAACAGCCAACAATTTACAAGTTGATATTTGAAATTAAATCTACTCGGCAAAAGCTTTAGTTAATAAATTCTAATTATCACAATAAAATATCAATTTTTGAGAATTTGTAAGACTTGAAAATTTTGTATCAAATTTTTGAATTAATTTCCAAAAAGGCAACCTAATTTTGTGAAAACTTGATAACATATTTGTACAAAAGTAAGTAATTTATCTTAACCGAGTTATATAACTACACTCTGGGAGAAACATACCTGAAATGCCATCTTTTCCATGAAAACTTTACTTGAAAAATACTAACACTTTTTGAAAATTTGTAAGATGTGAGAGCTTTCCATTAAATCTCTGAATTAATTTGCAAGGACCCTCTGACAATTTAATTTGTGCCAAAAATATATGGTAAAAATTTGCCGAAAAGTAAGCAATTTATTTTAACGGACTCATATTAAATAACTATTTGCATTTGTATGTACAAAAAATTTGTAAGAATGCATCTAAAATCTTAATTTTTTCATAAATCTTTATCAAAAAAATACTAACGACTTTTAATTACTACAATTAAGCATTTACCAATATTTTTCAAATTTATCACATTTCTGAATTTATTTGCAAAGACGTTACCCTGTTCAATTATTGAATTCCTTACCCATCGTTAAAAGTGCCTTCTCCCCCAATAATTCTTGATGATGTTGTTTCACCGTGAGTTCCAAAACTTCCAATGCTTCAATTTCCGCTTGCAAGTGGGAACTTTGCGAATTTTGGAGGAACGAGCTGGCCGTCGTTCTGTTAGATTTGAGCAATTCGGGCGGCTCAGAGTACGAAAACTTGGTCGAGGTGGAACCATGGCGTAAATGGTGGGAGTCATTTTCATCGTCGCCACGATTTTCGCCCTCGTCCCGGGTCGTCGACGCGGACGAAGCGACGCCCAGGTTGGAACTGGACTTTAACAAGAGGCGAGATTTTCTTCTTCTCCGACCACGTTGACAAATTACGAGGGCAAAGATTAAGATGTTTAGGATGAGGAGGGAACAACCTGCAAATTATGGGGGGAAATTAGCATACATTTTTGGCAATTTATCAAACCCAAGATTTCCATTTTTTGACGCAATTCATTCGAAAACTTTGTAAACTCTGTAAAAGTGCAAGTTTTCTGCAATCAGTTGGGAGGAAATTATAAGTAGAAATTCAAATTTGTAACAATTTTGCGTATGGTTTCACATCGAATGTGAAATCTTTAAATTGATTTATTAGTTAAAGGTAATTGAGATCATTCATTCTAAGTTTCGCGTAAGGTATTTAGCAAAGTTTGTAAAATTACTTTGAAAACTTTAGGAAATTCAAGTAGTCATTGGTACCTTGTAAGAGCCTTAAGATTTGTAAATAACTTTTACAAAATAAAGACATGCCCTTGACCTGAGTAAGGGTTTCAAAATTTTGGAGCTAATTTTCCTTAGAAATATTTTTGAAATTTATTGAAATTGGAATATTGGAAGTGTTTGAATTGTCCCAATCTAAAATTTTCAATAATAAAAAAATAGTCATGGAATAAATCATCTGTAACCAGTTTCGTTCAATCGTTGATTTTACAATTTTTCAAAGCGTTGTCAAACTTTGACTTAAAAATCACATTTATTTTATAATGTGAAGATTGTGGAAAATAAAAATCTAAAATACCTGACTCCGTCAAGGCTTTGTAATTTTATCTGATTAGATAACGCATTAGCGTGAATTTCATACTACTAGGAAAATCTAGATCCGTCCCCACACTTTGTGTGCGTACATATTTTGTCAAAAAAAAGTATTTGCTTGCAATTCATGCCAGGTTTTGCAATCGTGTAAAGTTCCCCAGCCTATAAAGTCATACCAAAATCTAGGAAAGCTCTAATTAATTTTGCACTTATCAAGCAACGTTTTTATTTCTAATTTAGTACAACTTTCAAACGCAATTCATTCGTAGGTTTGTAAACTCCGCAGATAATTGCTCAAGGTTGCGAAGATTACGAAACAAAATCACGTAACAAACTGGGTATACTGTTATAAGATTTTACGAAAAAAAGGCCACGGTATTTTGTAAACCCAAGTAATTCAGAATTTTTAAATTGTTTTCAAAGTTTATAAAATTTTCACCAAGTTCGACTTAAATTTCAGAACAACTTGGCAATAAGAATTCACCCATCTGTACCAAATTTCATAATTTTATCACTGCAAATGACTTCCAACTTGGCCAAATTTCTTGGCAAATTTGTCCCCCCTTTTAATCAGGCTAATTCATTCGAAACACTACTTCGTCACGACACACTCTCCCACTTTTCCTTTAATCTCGTCTCGCATTACATACATTTCGCCATGATTTTGTCAAATCAAAAGAGAAAGTTGCGTCCTTTCATAGTTAAGAAAGTTGCCACTTTGACTTGACCAACACAAGAATCAAAGAGTCAAAGACGACCATTCATTCAGTTCGTCTGACGAAGAAACTGAGTATTCCTTCTCACAAAGAAGGAATACTCCCTTAAAAATCGGGTAGTAACAATTTCATATTACGAAATTAAAAATTATCAATTTATAAAAAAAATCTGGTTTGTTGGACTTGTAAAAAAGGAGAATTATAAAGTTCGTGAAATAATGTGAAAACCGTTGGTAAAGACATTACCAAAATTAGTGACACAATAATGAGGCAGTTCACAGAGGTCTTGGTAACTTTATAAAATTCGTTATCAAGTAAAATTTTACAAATAATTGACAACTTGATTTATGACCCGATAAAATTATGATTTTTGTAAATGTTTCAAAAATCGTGAAATCCACAAGTAGCTAACGAATAAAATTTGAATAAAAAATTGCAAACCTTTCTCATTCCAAAAAATAGTCAAAGGTTAACACCGTTGTAGAAATTGAAAAGTAAAAAAAAATTAACAACCGAAATTCAGATGCGATTCATGAGCACCATTGGCGCTGCGCCAAGATCATTTGAATTGTCTTACTCACAATGGAGGTCTCCCAACGTATGCTTACAGATTTGGACCAAACTAGTGTCAATCGATCACAAATATAATTAGTATGAAATTTGCAAATGGAACTATCTGCCAATGCGCAGGTTTGGCGGAGATATTTGCATCCAAAACGGGAAAAATGCGCAGGAAATTTGGAAAATGAAAAGTTTACCACCCTTTGGGGTGCGTTTTCTCCTCTTTTTATGCAAATATCTCTGCTAAACTTGATCATTGGCAGATGGTTCCATTGCAAATTTCATACTAATTATATTTGTGATCGGTTGACGCTAATATGGTCAGCATGCAACCTCGACCATCACGTGCTCGTATCCTTCCCACACTGTGAGTATGGTAGGGATACGAACGCGGGAATCAAATTTTGGCCGAGGTTGGATGCTGAGAACTATAGTTTGGTACAAATCTGTGAGCATACGTTGGGAGACCTCCATTGTCAGACGAAGAGTGTCTTTTTATTTTATAAAAGTTTGTAAAATTATTTTATAAACTAAAAACATGAACCCTATCAAATTATGTATTAAAAATTGGAATCTATGTATTTTAGCTACACGTCATAACGAAATTACTAAAAAAGTAATTTGGGTACGAAAACTTGACAAAATACTCAAAAATCGAAAATTAAGGCAATTTACGCATATTTGTAAAATCCATAAATTCCATAAACTTAAAAAAAATTACAAAAATTTTACAAATATTTCTGAGGAAAATTAGCTTACACATTTTTGTGAACTTCAAGGCATCTTTTTATTTTGTATTAAAATAAAAACTGAAAAAAAATCTTGTATTTTACAATAAAAGGTTATAAAATTATTTTACAAAACTTACAAAGTTACCACTGACTGCGTGAATTGACTCAATATTAATCACGGTAACACGTTACTAAACATCAAGACATTACCAAAAACCATAACCGTTTGGTAACAGCACAAATTAACCCATTTGAACAAAATTGCTAGCTAAATTCGTACAATTCAGTGGTAACAAAATTGAACAAAATTATTACCCACTCGGTAACAACAACAATATATACCCTAAAATTTCTAAGTGTGTAAAAACCTAGCAAGTAACTTTCTCCCTCTGGGTTTCCTTCTCCTTCGCCTCGTCGGATTATTATTATTTGCTCTTTCATCATCCATTTCCACTTCAAGGGACAAAGTGGTGGTATCATCATCATCATCATCTCCGTTACATTAGTTACATCACGGCACCAAGTACGCAAGAAGATTGAATAGAAGAAAACCGAAAGGGGACGGTTGATTAGGAAATTCGCGGAGTGGAAGCGAATTCTACGCAACAAAAGAACTCCTTTCTCTCAAGATGTGTTCTCTCTCGTCATATTCTTGTCAATGCGTATCAGAAATTAGTGGGAATTAGTGTGATTTTAGGGCAAATTGGGGAAAATATTTCCTAATTAAGACTGGCAATTATTAATTTATTTTACCAGTATTTATAACCTTCTCGTCAGAATAATGTACCAAAGTAGATAGATTTATGCTGAAATATATTAATAACTTGACTTGCATATTAGAAATATTGTGACATGTTCTCGTCTAATTCTTGTCAATAGATAACAGAAATTAAGGAATTTGTGTGATTTTAGGGGAAATATTTCCTGACTAAAACTAACAATTATTATTTTATTTCACCAGTATTTCCAACCTTCTCGTCAGAAGAATGTAGATTTATGGCCAAATAGATCTTAATTAATTGATTTGTTAAAAGCATTGTGCCGGGTTTACTCCTCTAATTCTTGTCAATGTGAAATTTAGAAATTAATGTGATTTTAGGGAAAAATTGGGAAAATATTTCCCAATTAAACCTGCCAATTTATAGTAAGGCAGATCACGCAGTCCTTGGTAACTTTGTAAAATTCATAGGTTTTGTAAAATAACTTATAACTGCGATTTAGCTAGTTACGCTGGCAAAAATAGATTTCTACAAAAATTTGAAGGAATTAAATATTTGAAAAAATATCGAAATGAAAATTTATTTTTAAGGAGTTTAACGCCAATTAAAAAAAAAATAGTAAACTTTAACCTTTATTAAGAAAAAGATGCAACCTTTCCCCAGACTCAAAGTCAACAACGGTACAATTTTTAAAAATGAAAAATTTTAATAAGTTTAAATTATGGCAGAATTCACGCAGTCATTGGCAACTTTATAAAATGTTTGCGTTGTGTAAAATAATTTTTATAAACTAAAGAGACACGCTTGATCTGAGGATAAGTTTTAAAAAAATTGGAATTTTGCTCAGAAATCTTTATAAAAGTTTGTAAGTTTGCAGAATTTATGGAGTTTACAATGTTACAAAGGTCTGCGTGAAGTGCTTTTTACCATTATTTCCACATTTTCATAAAAATTTTAGAATCTGTGCCGCCAAAAGCAACAATTGTATCTTTATGTACTTGAAATAATCAAATTTATTTCAATCATTCTAATCGGTCTTGAAGTTTTACATTTGCTTCTTTTTAAAAGAAATTTCTAAAAATCACAAAATTTCAGAAAATTTTTTGCATTTTTTTTGCCCCAGTAAACAATGAACCTCTTCTCAAAATAGGAATCAACTTCTCCCTTGTTAACCTACTCGGGTGAATAATCTCATTATTTCACTCTGTCGATTGTTACATAACTAAATAAACGCTAATCATGCGTTAATTCAAATTCCTTCTTGTTTTATCTCCCATTCGCACAAATGAACAAATTACGAATGGAATTCTTCCCTTAACTCATAATTTGTATCGTAATATCCCAATTCAAGGTACAATCCTAGTCCTCAAAATGCACTGTTACAACCATACCTGTTCACTTTCATTCATGTGACTGTTTATGATCGAGAATGATGGTGAATGAAAATGAATTTCTTATGATTTGAATAAAAATGAGTGAAAGATTCAGTCATTTCAAGTGAATGATTGTGAATGAAAGGATTTTTCACTCATTTCATTTTTCACCCTATGCTTAACTTAATACATGGGGCGAAGTAAGAAATGAAGCCAGATGATTTGAAATGAAATGAGTTTGAAAGAAAATGAGTGATTGTAAATGAAAATCTTCACACAGGAAGCGGGATGATTGAACTTTGAATGAAAAAAGTTTTTCTGAACAGGTATGGATACAATTTCTTTGTCCGACCTGTTTATTTGTTTTTTTAAATTGAAATAATTCATATTATTTCTACACGGCGTTAAACCCACGGAAAATAATAATGCTGAAATTCGCTCACATTTTATAATATGGTTCAACTATGTATCTATTGCAAAACAAAGGCAATCAGCGTTACAAGTGGGTTAGTTTATTTTGTTAACGTTTGAAAAATATAAAAGCAATTCATGCAGTCCTTGGTAACTTTGTAAAATACGTAAAAACTTGCAAAATTTTGCAAGTATTTCGAAGGAAAATTAGGTAGCTTACTTTTTTTTGTAAACTTACTCATAGATCAAGGGTGTCATTTAATTTTGTAAAAATTTCTAAAATTATGGTACAAAATTTACGGACTTTGAAATACAAGTTACCAATGACGTCGTGAATTGTCTCAATGAAGGAAAATTTACAGAGTTTACCACGTGACAAACAAATTGCGTCTATAATTTGATCCTAAATTTTAAATATTAACTCACCGACTGCAATCGTAATCGCCAAAATGACCGAGTATGGTGGGAAATTTGACCCATCGAAGAAATTTGTCGCCGTTCCAGTCTCATTTGTCCCCCTCCCGCCACTCTGCACGGATGATGAGACGGGAGAATAGCACGTGGTCAGAGTTAAGGTGGGACTTTTCCCGCCCTTAGCGCCTCCTAAGTCTGTCTCAATTCCAGTTTCACTTTGCCCATCTTCACCACCCAATAAAGTTACCCCATCCACCCCGGGGGATACCCCGCCCTCCACCCCGTACCCGTATCCTAGCAGGAGGTCGTACAACATGGCAGAATTTAGTCCCCCGCCAACAACACCCACGTCCTGCCCGGGTGGTTCTTGTTCTCCGTCCTCCTCCGGCTGTTTCAACCTGTGTGTAACAAACATATGCAAATTAGCGTATGTTACCTTAACAAAAGTTGCTTCATCTCTACAAATATTTCGCAATATTTGCTGCTGGAGGTACATAAAATTTCGCAATTTGTTATTACCACGGGCAAAAGTTAGTTTCAATGCTTCCTTTTTGCCTTGTTTAAATTAACCACCCACTCAACTCACCAAACACAAAATATGGTTAGTTGCATAGCTTTCCATTTATTAGATTATCTATCTTATAAAACAGGCCGTTACATATGCCCCGGAAGTGAAAGTAGATAAGTACTTGAATTAAAATATGATGCTCCAACTGGTACTAAATCTTAGTGATTTACATAGTTATAGTCGATGATGATGGATAAGGTAGTTATCAACTGTGTGGGTATCAGGACTTATCGATATAAAATCTGTCTATAACGTATTTATAAAATAATTAAATATCAAAAATGACGCAATTTTCCATCTTTTTCGAAAACCATATATGCTTTTTGAAAAACGTAATTATAATAACGTTAAAAAATACATGCATAAATACCCTTCATTATGATAAGTTAGTTATCTGCGATTATCCCAGCCAGTTATTTATAGATACATAAAACAATCTACGAAATATTTATGAAATACATATTTACATAAATCTATCTGAATAACCGCCACAAATTTTTTCCCACTAAAAATATCCTTGTCCAAAAATAAATACATAAATAAATCCCCCGCATTAATTATGTCCACGTCTGGCGAAGGGCTTTACTTGCTAGTTTTGCCCATAAATAACACGTGCTCCTCCTCGTGTAACAACTTTCTCTCATATTTTAAGCACACAAATACGGCAATAAAAAGGGGTCCGTCTGATAAGACAACTAACCATTTTCCCAATTTTGTGACACTCTACACATGTAATATTTTATGGGCAAATTTACTTTACTCCAGTTGGACCACCACTAACAAGTCGGTATTTGTAAACTTTTGGGTAAGAACCGCACCTGTAATCACCCCTAAAATGAAGAAATTGTTGCGTAAAAGATTTACTTGCAAATTTTGTTGTCGAAATTTATCTCTCATTTCATTCACTCGAAGAACCAACCACATTCTTCTTCTCCACTTTAAGAATCCACATTTATCAAACAATTCCTAAGTAAAACCTGGCTTGATGCGAGGCACACTCATTACTGGGGAGAGCGGAGGAGTAAAGGCGGAAGACGAGATAAAGATGAGGCTCTTGAAAAAGGAGGGTTCCGAAATTTCGGAGATTTTTTTAAAATACGGTTTTATGCAGGATTTTGTAAATTTTGGGGTTTTGAATATTTTTGTAGATTCGGTTCAAAATGTTTTATTTTTATAATTAATAAGGACGAATTTTGAAAATACGCAAATTAATTTTTTAAATACGCAATTTATCCTTTTAAAATTAACCATGCAACATTTTAAACATACACAATTAATTTTTTTTTAATTAACAACGCTAAATTTTGAAAATACGTAATTTAAATATTTTCAAACGATTTTCATTAACAAATAAAACACAATTAACAAAATTACTTTGTGCTAAGAATTTCACTCCAAGTTTAACCTTATTTCCCTCAAGTTGGATTATTTCGGTGCAGCATTATTACCGGTAAACCCAACTGGTAAAAAACTACCAACACTCTATCCTACCAAATAAGTAACATCCAAAATGTCCACTATCGCATCTTCCGTATCTTTAACAACTTTCCAAACCCTCAAAATTTACATCTTTCTCAAAATTCCTTATTTTTTCCCATAGGTTCCCTGAAGCCACACAATTTCCATATTTAATGGTACATACACACACTGGTTTTACCAAAGTAAATCTAAATCACCAACCTTCCCATGTAGAGAACGGGGTCGTTTCCTCCTTTCATCTTGTTATGGAAGCTGGAAGCCATCTGAGCCCCGCTCCGTTGCAATTCGGGCACCAATCTTTTCATAAATTTCAAAAGAACCACGTTATCATTAAAGTCTTATACGCAATCCATTTAACAAACCGCAACCGCCTATTTATACACAATGAAAAATGAATGAATCAAGAAAGGTTTGCACAAAATAATTAACTCTGGTAAAGAAAAAAATTCGTGAGTATAAAATGTGATGAATTTAGTAGTATGAGTCTCGTAAGTGGTGAAAGTCCTGAAATATGCCGTTGAAATGGAAAATGGAAAAATTGTTCTGGTTTAAGAAAACACAGGAAATAGGTTTTGATTCGAGTCTAATTACTAGTAATTACACTATTAGAAATCCGGTATTAAAATAGCACCAAACGGTATTCACATATAACTCTAACAAAGTGGTTTTGATAAGTCATACCGTGTAGTAATGGTAAAGTTTTACCATATCCGTACATACCTGTTCACTTTCATTCATTTGGCTGGTTACGATAGTGAATGATCGTGAATAAGAATGAATTTCCTGTCATTTGAATGAACATGATTGAAAGGATTCCGTCATTTCAGATGAATGACTGTAAATGAAATTATTTCTTACTCATTTCATTTTTCACCCAATGCTTACTACATGGGGCGAAGTAAGAAATGAAGTCCGATGAAGTGAAATGAAATGAGTTTAAAAGAAAATGACTGAATCTAAATGAAAATCAGAAATTCGGAGGCTAATCCTTTTAAATGAAAATTTTGTTTTTGAACAGGTATGCATCGGTATATAGCAAGTTTTTATTACTATACTATAAATTTAATACCAAGTGGTAGCAACTTTAACATCGAAACATCAATACCTGACTGACTATAAAAGATTTCTAACAGTATAAGAAAAATTATAACGGAAAGGACTGCGAATGACAAGGTACAAATTTTGCTGGATGGATACAAATATATTAATTTCCGAACGTGACAATTTTTTTTCTCGATCGGAAAAACTACTAAAAACTCATTTTTTCGAAGTTATTTTTTTAATAATTACAAGCATCGCAAATAATTATTTACAATTTTTTTTAGCAGGAATTATCTTTAAAAATTCGACGTAATGGAATTTTCAGCTGGTGCTATGCTATGTTGCGTCAAAAAAGTGGAAACTTTCAGCTAATTAATTTGTGCATAAAATTTAGGCCGTAATAAAGGCAAGGGTTACGGAATAATAATGTGTGGTCAGTTGCATACATGTATTTCTCAACTCCGATTTTTGTCATTAATCATATCCGGCCTATTTTAAGCTCTTTTTAATTCAATACTAATTCTCATTTAATAATTTAGCCAATATTTTATAACGGGAAAAGAAAAATTGGCCTTTGATTGTATTCTTGGAAAGTAATTGATTGAGATTTATTTTTTAAAAGTGAAGAGAATTAGATATCAAAGTTTTCAGGAATAATTTTTTTGGCCACATTTAACGCCGTATAGAGTTTTATGGGAATTTGTGCGGTGCATTTGACATATTTAGATCAAATCTCGGTATAAATTTTCCACAACTTTAACACAATTTAACGCCAGTATACAAAATTTTATTGAACCTGAAATTATGTATTATTGAAATTGACATAATTTTTCAAAATATTAAATTTTTGTTTCGCAAATTTCTGAAACAAATTTCCACTTGTGGATAGGACGTCAAAACTGTGCAAATCTGACGCCAGTTTGACAAAATTTTAATGCCTGTTTTCCGAAATAGATTTTAGATTAAATATTTCACTTGAAATTGAAGTTGACTACATTTTTGAAAATGAATAAATTTTTGCTTCAAATTTGTGAAACAATTTTTTTGCTACAAAATTATCCACGTATTTCTACCCGGAGAGAAAGTGCATAAAGGACCATGCGTAAAGCACGTGACGTGATCTTAATTTATTACACTGTTAATAATCTGGTAATAAACATTACCGAAAAAAGCACAAGTGTATGACTCTACCAAAGTGGTAATGATACGTTGTACCGTGTGGTAATCGCTTGGTAATAAAGTTTTACCATCATGGTAACGAATTTTTACTACCTGGTAAAATATTATTACCAAATTTATTACCGATAAATCATTACCTGCGTGGATTATTAATTTTTTAGCATGGACATATTCAAGTCAAAATTTCCCGAAAATCGAACCCATTCTTCCCGCACGGGCCAGGCCTGCCTACTCATTTCCTTTATTCCCAATTCCCACCCCGTTTTCATTACCTGAGCCAAATGGCCATCTGATGTGCCCTGTAATGACTCCGGGTACGTATTTTATTCGCTCCAATTTCCAAATATTTTTGATGAAGTCGGTCATACAATTCCCAAACCGTATTTTTGTAACGATTCCTCTCCTTTGAAACTGGCCATGATGAGATCGAGTCAATTTTTATTGGCCCGTTGGGATTCCTGGGACATACAGAGTGCAAAAATTATTACGCAAAGTCATGAAGCCGAAGAGTTAACGTTTTACACGGCCCGAACCAAGCCTTATCTAAAGGTTGGTGGGTATGTCTGTTCCTCCGTCTTAATAGATTAATTTGGTGCATTTTACTTGAGTAAAAAATATAATGACGCAATTGGTAATAAAATTTTTGTCGGTAACAATTTGCTATGGATGGAAAATTTAGATTTTTAACTGAATTAGTTAATTTGGTACATTTTACTCGATTTATAAATAAGATCATTAATCGCGCTTAGAAGAAATTGGTAACAAAATTTTGCTATCCGTAATAATCTGCTATTGAACAATTATTTCTGGGAATTTAAAAATTTGCAACTGCGCCAGTAAAAATTTCTCACTTCAAGGCGCCAAATTAACTGAAATTTATTATTCTAGTTCGGTAGCAAATTGTTACCAGACGGGGAAGCTTCTTGTACTTTTCCAAAAATTATAAGGAATTACTTTATGTTTTTGAATAATTTTGCTAAATTCTAGTTATTTATTTTTAATAATTTGATAAGTAAACAATGGCTCGGGCTATGTGAATTTGCAGTAGAATTTATTTTGCGTGTTTATTTACCCAGTGCGTCCAAAGTTTGATATGAAACTCATCCAAAGCTCGGATAAGGCGACTTCCCCTTTTGAATAGTTGGATGGCAGTGGGCTCGGGAGGAAGGGGAGCACTCCCCCAGTGGCAAATTCAATCAGGGGGTTGCCAAATATGTAATTCAATTCTTCCCCACCACCGGCACCAGCTCGCTAAAAAATTAATACATTCTACATTTTAAAACATTTTTCTTACAAAAAGTAACACAAATTCTAAAGTAAAAATTAATCTTTTGACCTGTTTAAAGTAAAAAATGATACCCATTTTAAAATAAGAATCCGTTTTTTGCACAATTTTTATATAAAAAATAGCACGTATATTTAAAAAAAATCGTTTTTTGCACAATTTCTAGTATTTAACAATTTTGACATCGAAGAATTTGGGGATATTAATTACTCTCAATTTTAGAAATAATTTTGTTCAATTCTCGCAACACAAAAAATAGCGATAAAAAATTCCCTGTATAGTTGGACACCGAATTTAGAATTTTTCTCTTGATGTAGTATTATTCTAACAATAAGGTGAATTTCAAGTCAGTGATAATTTAATCGTTTTCATATGAGTTAATACATTTTGTACAATTACGTAATGAAACAATTTTCAAATCATAACGTCGCAGTTTAGATTTCGAAAACTTTCCCACATTAAAAAGTTGGTTACAATAGATCTAAAATCCGTATTTATTTTATGCAGAGAAGTTAAATGACAATTCATGCTTCTGAAAATTGGACAAAGTTCACGCCAACTTTTGCCATTTCATAAATATTATTGCATATTTCAATATTATAAGATTATTATCACAATTTTTCACATACCGTTGACAAAGTTTTGGTAGAAAGTTTACAATATTTTGGCAAAATTGTGTGCCAAAAATCAAACAAGATTTTACCATCCCATCTTAAAATTACTTGTAATTTCATGTAAAGGTTGGTATGACGTATGAACTAAACAAAATTTTTATTTACCCCCAAAATTAGACTTTATTAGTAACTCATGACAAATTAAAACCAAATCGGTGACAAATAAATAATAACTGTGAAGTTATCCTGATAGTAAAAAAAATAAACAATTTGGGACCGAATTATTTATCACAGTGAGGCATCACGCAGTCCTTGGTAACTTTGTAAAATCCGTAAACTTACAAACTTTTAGACATATTTGCAACCAAAATTACCTCACCAATTTTTGCAAACTTACGCAGATCAGGCTGCCTTTTTATCTTCTAAAAATTTGTAAAATAAGTTTACACAATTTATGGATTTTACAAAGTTACCAAGGGCTGACTGAATTATCTCCTCGGTATAAACCAAGTATAAATACAATTTACGTTTGTAACGACTTTATCTCTTTACAATTTCGCAGTTTAAATATAATCGGTAACAAACTAGCATTTTTAATTACCAAAATACTTACATGATAATTGTACAAACCGTCTTTCGTCGAGTGTTCGAAAACATAGAAAAATGCCTTTTTCACCAAACTCGAGTCCGTAACGGCGACGACAGGAGCGAGGGCGACACAATCCGTGACCGCGTTTACAGCCATGTCCCGCGTGCTTATCGGGTGTTGCGCCGTTCTACGAAATTTTATGCGATAAAATTGTCATTTTCATTGTAAAATTGAAAAATGGTATAATTATTAGCCGCGCGCTATAACTTGTCCCCGTCTCATACACAAATTAACGGTTTCTACAACACAGTCAGTATACACGCTCCACACTCTACAACACGGCAGAGTGCACCGTTAAAATGTGTATGAGACGGGGACAAGTTAAAGCGCGCGGATAATATATTGAGGTAAATTCACGCGGTGCTTGGTAACTTTGTGAAATCGGTAAGTTTTGTAAAACAAACTTTTACAAAGTAAAGAGACGTCCTTGATCTGAGCAATTTTACAAAAATTTGTGAGCTAATTTTCCCTAGAAAAATTTCTAAAATTTTGTAAAATTTAAGTTTACGGGATTTACGAATTTTACAATGTTACCAAACCCCACATGAATCACCTCATTATTTCCAACTTTCTCATCATATAAATATCAAAAATTTTAGAATCTATGTCCAAAATTGAGTAATTATGTAAATAAATCTTAATTAATTGATTGATTAAAAATATTGTACAATCGTTACTCATAAAAACCTAATTTATTTCCCAAGAAGAAAGAGTATATCTGCATAGACTTTAAATGATCAACTTTTTTTAAATCACTTCGATCGGTCTTAAACTTGTACATTTTCTTCTTTTTAAAACAATGCAAAACCTGCGTGAATCGTCTCAATTTAGTGGTCTCAACGGTTCTCGGTTCTCATAGAACCGAACCGGAACCGATGGCTTCGGTTCGGTTCCGGTTTATACGGAGAACCGAACCGAACCGAAACTTTCATTACCGGTTCGGTTCCGGTTCCAAGTCTTTGAGAACCGAATCGAACCGGCCGGTTCGGGGTGAACCGAACTTCATACATAAATCAATTAGCGAAGTTAATCATATTTTCGAAAAAGTTTTCCGAACTTCCCGAAATACACCTAGTTTCCAAAATGAAATTTTGACGTGGCCGCACCACCAAAGTTCCCAACATGAAACTTTTACTTGGTTAAACCCCCAATGTTTCCAAAACGAAATTTTGACTTGGTTACACCCCCAATATTTCCAAAATGATATTTTCACCCCAAAGTTTCCTAAACAAAATTTTTACCCCCAAAAGTTTCGGAAATGAAATTTTGACGTGACTGCACCCCCAAAGTTTCCAAAATGGAATTTTGATCTGGTTACACCCCCAAAGTTTCCAAAATGGAATTTTGATCTGGTTACACCCCCAAAGTTTCCAAAATGGAATTTTGATCTGGTTACACCCCCAAAGTTTCCAAAATGGAATTTTGATCTGGTTACACCCCCAAAGTTTCCAAAATGGAATTTTGATCTGGTTACACCCCCAAAGTTTCCAAAATGGAATTTTGACTTGGTTACACCCCCAAAGTTTCCGAAATGAAATTCCAACTTAGTTACACCCCCAAAGTTTCCGAAATGAAATTTCCATTGATTCACTTGCACCCCAAACTTGGAATTGTTTTCTAACGTCAATAATACATAAGTGGTTTTGCTGTTGACATGTGTTAGAATTTGCATGTTTAAATACAGATAAGTTATTGGCTTGTATGTGAAATTTCATCAGAAACACGTCAATTAGCATTGTTTGTTGTTTATTGCATATTAATAACACTACCGGTTTGACCCGAACCGCCGGTTCGGTCACGGTTTGGTCCGGTTCCGGTTCGGTTCCAGCTAAAAATAGTTCGGTTCTGTTTCGGTTCTTCAATTCCGGTTCTCGGTTCGAAACCGGTTCTTCCAAGAACCGAACCGAACCGCACCGTTGAGACCACTAGTCTCAATAATTACTAAATAATTTACCTAGATTTAATTGATTTCAGTTTTACTGTAAAAATTTCATAAATTCTTCGACCAATTTCAACAATAAAGTTTTCTTGTTAAAATTTTCGCATTTATTTGCAAGAAAATCTCAAAAATTAATAACAACTATCAAAGTTTAAATATAAAATTCAAGTAAAGAGTTTCTGAATTTTCACATTTATTTTTTTGACAGAAATTTGTATTATAAAAACCTCATGAGAAACTAGGGCACACATTTACCCAATTAATTTTTGAGTTTCATAATTAAACGAAATTACTCACCTCTCCCAGTCAATGTACTCATTAGTGATAGTGGCCAGAATTTCGTTCCTATGGTAGCGATACGAGTTGCGGACGAGGGTTCTCAAGATTGCGTCACGACGATGGGACTCGAAGCCAAATTCGAGATCCATCTGTTTCCGGGAGGCGAAGGGAGGAGGAAGAAAGTGGAATAGGGAAAACTTTAGTCGTAAACTTGGATGAAAGAGACATTCAACAAATGACGAGAGCAGTAAAAACATGGAGATCAAAATGGAGATAACATTGACATTACTTTATCATGAGACAGGGTGGCGAAGTTGGAATTGTGGAAGTGGCAAGAATTTTGCAAGAAACTGTGAAATTTGGGAAGAAATTGGCAAAAATTTCATGAAACTGGTAGAAATTGAGAAATTACTGCAAAATAAAGAATTACTGAAAATTGAGGAATGTTAAGAAATTTAGGAAACATTAGAAATCGTCAAATTACGGGATAGAAATTATTCCGAAAAAGAAAAGAAATGCTTAGAAAAGGACAAATTACTGAAAATTAGAATTTACGAAAAATTACGAAATGTTTAGAAATTTAAGGAATTACTTGAATTGGAAGATTAGAAATTACTCAAAATTAAGAAATGCTTATAAATTTACAAGTTATTAGAAATCTATAAATTGGAATTCCTACAAATTATTAAATAATTAGAAACAGAAAAATAATTGAAATTTACAACAAATAACATATTTACAAATTGCTCCTTCCGAAATTGTAACCTAATAAAACCTAATAAGTAATTCATCTTCCATTGTATTTTTATTCGTCAAAATGAAATTTGTCTCCTCGTAGCGTCGATGTTCCAAATTTTTAATAATTTACAAGCCAAACTTTAGCATTTAGGTGGGTCGAATTTCAGTAAATACAGAGTGAAATACACAGTTGACAGTTTACATTTCTTGTAAAATCCCACAAATAAATACTTTGATCACAATTTCTTGCATTTCTTTCACACCTCGGAAATTTCCCCACCCTGCTCTGAAATTCTGAAATTCTTGCAAGAAAACTATTTCACTTTCTCTCAGCTCCGTCATGAAAATTAAATTAAATACATACACACAATTCTCAAAATTAATCATTTTACGACGCACCTCACTAAACTCGGTCAACTTTTCCAGTGATGATAAACCCACAAGGATGTCGTACTTCTTCCCGACTTCCCTCTTCCCCATGGGCGGGGGGCTGTTGAGCTGCAAAAAAAACAGGCAAAATTCGCAATATCAATTTACGCAAAAAAAGAGATTGAATATTTCTCATCAGTTTAATCGTGCCATCAAATCAACAAAGGAATTCGTAAGGTTTGTGAGTTTATGCAAACCAACGAAAGCCTGAGTTTTGGGGGTATTCACGTCAAAATAAGAAAATTCTGCATTTCGACCTTTTTTACATATTAGTTTGCAAAAACTGGTTTGAAATTAAATAATTGTTTTCGCAACAAGGTGACAAATTTGGCAACAGAATAACTATAATTGGCAAACTGTTAGTGACTCAAATCATTTACATATGTAACTTTTAAGATAATCATTCTACAAAATCTTCAGGAAATTAATATTTCACAAGTAAACTGTTCAATAAATCAATGATTTTCTGAGGCTATTCACTGGGAAGTTTGTAATATTGGTAAATTTTGTAAAATCATTTCATAAACGTGCACAAAATGACAAGATGTCCATGATCTGAGTAAGTTTAGGAAAATTTGTAGACTAATTTTCTTCACAAATATTTGTAAAATTTTGTAAAAGTTTGTAAGTTTATGGAATTTACAAGATTACCAATGGTTGCGTGAATTGTAAAATTGTAATTACGTCTCCGTCGAATCTGTAACGAGTTTTGGGCATTGTTGGTTTTACGATTTCTCTAAACGGCATCAAGCTTTAACTTTGACTAATCTCGCATTTTTTTTGTGATGCGAAAGGTTTCAAAGTTTTGTATTTGAATACAATTTGAATTGTGGCTGCGTAATTTTAAGTTATTACCAAATCAATACGGGTACAGAGTAGAGTATATATTTGACTCTACCAGATTTTTAAGTGTAGAAATTATGGTAACAAAGTAAGACCAAGGAATTTGTTATCAAACCTCATGTTCGTAACAACGTTTGTTACTGAATTATTTACAGAAGAGCAAGAACGTCCAAATTTTCAAAATTCTTAATAAGCAGCAAATAATTCCGAATTTGTTGCCAAACTTTTTATAGCCGCGCTCGTTCCTGCGTTATTTACAAGATAGGAATACTGTCAAATATTTTGACATAATGTCGTACAAATTTTGAGGAATATGTCTCAAATCGATGTCGTTTTCAGATTTTTGTATAATCTGATGTATAAAACTTCAAATTAAGGTGTTCCCCGTCTCGTTGTAACATAACGTTTGTTTTGTAAATTTTTCCAAACAATAATTTTTTACATGACTAAAAATTATGAAATTCGAGCGATCTTTTTAATTTACTGTTTCAAAATTTTATAAAATTCCTAATCAATAAAAAACAATTGCGGAAAACTTTCTTTCTAGTTGTTCTGCCACCAAATTATTTCCTGTGCGTTTTAAACCCAATTTTTGATTAGAGAAACGCCGTGAATACGCCTTTCTCAAGATTTCACCGATCAAAAACAAAAGCCTGCTCCACCACGCAGATTGGACAGATTGCTTTATTCCCCTCATTAAATTCTGGTCTTCACGACGACGACGACCAGAACCATTCTTGGAACGGAATGAATTAGGTCATCAAGAAGTGGACATCCAATTACAAAAGGCTATCAAATTCCGCATCTTCTCGAAATGGGATGTAATTTCACCCAAGGCTATTCTTAACTCGGCCCGACACGCATTTCCGTGTTGATGGGGTTTACTTATCTCGTACGAAATGAAAACATGGGTTTTGCGGACATTGTAAAGTTCCATTTCATTCATGCGACAAAAGGATGAGATTTAGATGGTTAGTTACACTGGTAAAAAATATATTTCAGAAAATTCCGAAAACTTAAATATTAAAAAAAAGTTATCAAAATAAGAATGAATTTTTTAATGAGGTTGACGCCATTTTTTCAAAATTAGTGAAATGTACGTCATATAATTTGATATACTTTTGGTGAAATTTTAATAACATGCAAATTTATAAATTGTAATATAGTCAATTCATTGATTGTTTTGCAATCTTGCAAAATCCGTGTTGGATTTTATTGTTCAAAAATTTAGGAATAAATAAAAATAAATCTCAAAAATTTATAAATTAGAGAAATGAGAAACTTGGTATTGAAATATTGTAATCAATTTTTGCAAAAATGAATACTTGTTGTGCAACGACTTGTTTGACTTGAGAGACGAAACATAAATTTTAAAAATGTATAAATGACTTTTTTTGATATCAGGTTATTGATGTCTTCAAAGTAAGGCTTACATTTTGTAAAAAATATATAATTTTGCAATCTTGCAAAATCCTTTTACTCGTATCTCGTACGAAATGAAAACATGGGTTTGTGGACATTATAAAGTTCCAAAAGGATGAGATTTAGATAGTTGCGTACGTACACTGGCAAAAAATATATTTCAAAAAATTTCGAAAACCTTAAATATTTACAAAAAAGTTATCAAAATAAGACATTATTTTATTAAATGAGTCTGACTCCATTAAAAAATAAATTAGCGAACTTAACTTCAGAAAGTGTATCAGATTTGAGGTTATGAATGAAGAAATTTAAATAAGATGTAAGTTTACAAATTTTAATAGTCAATTCTCGAAATGAAAACATATTGCGGACATTGTAAAGTTTCATTTCATGCGGGAAAAAGGATGAGATTTAGATAGTTATGTACACTGGCAAAAAATAGAGTTCTAAAAAATTGTAAGGAATTAAATGCTTAAAAAATATCACAATACAAATTTATTTGTTAATGAGTTTAACGCCATCGTAAAAAATAGTGAACTTAACTTGATAAGTTTTATTAGGTCTGTGATACGTCATTGTGACATTTTCATAACGGGCAAATTTATAAATTTTACTCGCAATGCTTGGTAGCTTTATTAAATCCGTGTTGATAAGGTTTACTTATCTTGTACGAAAACATGGGTTTGCGGAAATTGTACAATGTACAGTTTCATTTGCGGTAAAAGGATGGGATTTAGCTAGTTGCGCTGGCAAAAATAGATTTGTACAAAAATTTGAAGTAATAAAATGTTAAAATATGCATGTTAACAAAGTTTTCCATATTTATCAATTTTTAAGTTTGTCGACTTTTATGAGGGCTGAGCATTTTCCAACCTTTTTCCCAGGACAAGGGATTAAAAGGGTCCTTTTGTTTTTATGCCTCATTAGAAGGGACACTTCGTTTGAGCATAACTCTGCGTAGTTTGTATGGTCACTTCTGACCACATATTATTACATATGTATGAATGTCTCCTATGTACTGTCAAAACCTTAAAACCAAGTTGTTTAATAAAAATCACCATCAGTCTAAAAATATCTTCCAGCGAGATCATTTTTACTTTCATGGTAGCAAAGCCGTTAGTTTGTATGATTCATATTGTTGGTCTCAACCTGCCTCATTGAGTGTCTCAAAAGTGCCCCAGTCTCAGAGTCTGTTAAAGTCTCACAACGAGAAGAACTGTTTCCTGTTCAACACTTGATAAACTGAAGTAGATCAGTGTTATTGTTGTGAAGTGAAAAGGTCAATTCATCAGTTAATAATAGCAGTAAGTCTCCACTGCCCAGTGCCAGTCTGGACGGAGTAAGCCTGTAAAAGTGTGCCGTGAATTGGACCATTGTTTGGACAAGAGACATCAACCCTTTGACTCTACCCGAAGCTGAACCTTCCGCCCGAGGACGAGTTTTATTGAGGACGACCACTCTACCCAAATCCTGAGTTCCCGTCTACCAAATCTCGACCTTTTTCGATTCTACTGCTCTTTATTAGGCAAAGAGAAGGTAACAAGTCTATTTCTGTTTTTCGCTTCTGCTTTCCCTACTCCACAACGACAAGATGACATCAACAATCAAAAGAATAGATGTTACGCACATTGTCAAGCTAGACGACACCAATTACGCGAGGTGGAGACTTCAGATAACTTTACTTCTCAAGTCACATGACCTGTGGGAAGTGGTCAACGGCACTACCCAACGACCTGCAGATGAAGCACAACAGCCAGCATGGGATAAGAAGGATATACAAGCACAATCCATCATTGTCCCCACTCTCAGTGCCACTCAAACAAATCATATTTATGACTGCGCTACATCAAAAGCAATGTTTGACAAGCTGAAAAGCATCAATTCAGATTCAAGCTCGCTTAACAAGCAACATACCATGGCTAGATTCTTCAATTACAAAATTGGCAAGAGTCAGTCATTGATTGAAGCATTTGCAGAGGTGGAAGAGCTGGGTAGAAGACTAAATGAAATTGGAGTCGTCATGCCTGAAGCATCCATTGTCACAAAGATTGTCTCAAGTCTCCCCGACGAGGAGTATAATGCCTTCAAAAAGGCATGGGACAGCGTTCCGGATAAGGACCAGAGCATGATAATGCTACTTGCCCGTCTGACGAAGGAGGAGTTGGAGAGGAAGGAATCCAAACCAGCAGCAACCAATCAAGATGCAGCAAAGGCATTCTTGACCCATGACCAGAAGAAAGGCAAGAAGAAACAGAGCATTGAAGAGTTGAAAAAGGCAATAACCTGCCATGGGTGTGGGAAAAAGGGCCACTGGAAAAGGGAATGCAGGAGTAATCCACAAAATCAGAGCAATAAACCTTCAGATAATCCCGCACAAGCCAATAGAAGCCCTGGGAAAGCGTTCATGCTAAATGCAATACAAACCCCCATGCAAGCACCCGTGACTGAACAAGTGTGGCTAAGCGATTCTGGAGCTAACCAGCATGTCTGTGGAGATAAGGCATGGTTTACAAGATATGAAGAGTTTGACACTCCCAAGTCAGTCTTCCTAACGGACAAAAGGGCTACACAAGCACTAGGAAAAGGGACAGTGACACTTGACGCTTACATCAACGGCATATGGGAGGAATGTACCATAGATAACGTGTTGTACATACAAGGGGCTGTCAACCTTTTTTCTGAGGGATCAATGGCTAAGAAAGGGTACTCCATCGTCCGTGACAAGAATGGAGCAACATTTTATCAGGATGGACGGTTTAAGGGGCCAATTGCCGAGTTCAAAAATGATATGTATGTCATGAAGT